GGAATAGGTCACATCTCGGCTCTCTGAGCTAAGATCGAAGTGGTCACATCTCGGCTCTCTGAGCTAAGATGGAAGTAGTCGCTTCTCGGCTCTCTGAGCTAAGATGGAATAGGTCACATTTCGGTTCTCTGAGCTAAGATCGAAGTGGTCGCTTCTCGGCTCTCTGAGTTAAGGTGGAATTTATTAAATGTTATTAAATGTTAAAAATTATTTTTGAACGTATCCCACACAGCATACTTTATTTGGGATATACTGAGGAATTCTAAATTGAATTTATATGACAGAAAGTCACGCGATATTTGTTAATGATATTTCGTGCGTTTTGCGGTATTTTACATCGCGCGATCGATGATTTTCGCGAGTGAGTATTGTGTGAGTGCAACAAGGCCATAACGGCATACATATTCAACTTAGACATCTGCGGAATGCGAAACGAAGAAGATTGGTTTTTGGTTCATCTCGCTACGTCAATTTTTCGCCGAGTTATAGCGTTTTAAAAATCGGGCGCGCGCGCACCATTCATGAACGAAGGCCGCGCGAGTTTTTACGCGAGTAGTAAGCGAGCGTACTACGTCCCCAAAAAACTGGCGTCAAAACATAGGAGGCACAGGTGTTCGATAGTAAACACCGTCGCGCGAGACGCCGCATACACGCGTCGTCTGCTGCTTCTGAATGAGGATTAAGATCGCGAGTCGATATAATCGTCAATAATTTCGCACAAAAAAGTCGTAGGAAGATGATTCTTGTCTCGTTGGAAAGCTAAGATTTCAGCGCTTCTAACGAGATAAGAATGGCTCATCTCGAATTATTAGTTTATGAGGCATTATTGATAAATTCCGAGAAAATTGATTTTGTCCCAAGATCGCGAGTGCGAATTAATCTTTCGATTGGATGAATCTCTCTCACATCGTGCATTAAATAGCAACACTAATTTATGTTTATTCAATATTCATTTTTCTATATATACACATATGTAATTGCACAGCTTCTTGTTGATAATCCCCTCCTCGGGTACTACCTTGTCGTGGTGGAGGGGCTTAAGTACCCTGAAGGGTTACTCTCTAAAAATCGCTCAATGGTTTATTACTGAAAACAATGAATATTCACTGATTTACAGTAATGATGCACTGATTAATTTTTAGAGAGTACAGACCCTAAAGACGGGACAACCAAAGGTACCCATCGCGTTCGGGAGTGCCGTATAAAGTAATCGTAGTAAAGACATTTCAGTTTTTTGTAACCGGGAGTGTGTAGAAACGCGCGAACGATCTTTCGCGAGTGTGCCAGAGGACAGTCTGAGAGGAGGCGGAGGTCTCGGAAAGGCATCGGGCGTCGTCGGAGCATCTTTAAGGTAAATACTTTTCATTTCGTATAAAATTTATTTTCCTCCTGTCTGTCATTATATCTTACCACAATTAAAAATAATAATTGGAAAGAGATCACTGTTTTAACATGAATTTTGTAATTGTATGTTACAGACTGCTGGAAGAGTCCCAGAAGGAGTTCCGAAGGACAACCTGAGTGGAGGAGGAGGCCTCGGAGAGGCTTCAGGCGCCGGCGGAGCAACTTTAAGGTAAATATTATTTTTCCTGTTTTGTAAAATTAATGTTTTCCGGTTTATTGTTGAGTCATTTTATTTCACCATAATTTTAAAATAATTAAAAAATTAAGATACAGATCTTTTGCGGAAAATCTTTCACGTTATAATCATTTAAATCTAACTGAATAAAAAGTTAGATACGCGTTGAAATTATATTTTGCAAAATTGGTTTTGTTAAACACTGTTTTTTAATATAAATTTTATATTTGTGTTACAGATAGACAACAAACAACAACTCCGCTGCTGCGCGTCGGGTCGGTGAGTGCGAATTTTGTTTATTAAGGAAACGAATCTATACCTCGTAATTCGTAGTTTGTAGATAGTAGATCGTAGATAGTAGATCGTAGTTAAATATATCTCGTAGATTCGTTTCCTGAAAATGGATAGGTGATAATAATAAAATAATTACGGCATTTAATGTTTTATTTAAAATATTCAACATATCGGAAAAGAGTGGTAGAGATTTTTAGAATTTACGGGAAATATGACTTTGGATTAGTTTATGAAACTTTTCCATTGTCCATTTAAGATTGAAAACCTTGTTGGAGAACGAGTTAATCCCTGGTTTTCTTTGTCACGGATTCCCGGAAGCAACGATTTTGGCACGAAAGCGCGACGTCGATTCGCGAAATTAATATAAAAAAAAGAGAAGAGTTTATGTACATATCCTTCTTCATAAATATTCTCCCATTAACACTACTAATGGAAGAATAATTTTTATTTAAATAAAACTGAAAATATATGAGATTGCATGATTTGAGAAACGATCGTCGTTAACTCCCTGCCAAAATGATCGCTATCGGAGGAAATCCGGAAGATCTGGGATTCATTCTTTCTTGCAGCGAGGACCTTGACCTTTGGATTGGTGTAAATTTTCCTTTTCCCGTGAAGATTAAAGACCTTGTTGGATAACCAGAGTTAATCCCTGGTTTTCTTTGTCACGGATCCCCGGAAGCAACGGTTTCGGCACGAGGGCGCGACGTCGATTCGCGAAATTAACAAAAAAAAAGAAGAGAAGATTCTATGTATATTCTTCTCCACAAATATTCTCCCATTAACACTAATAATGGAAGAATAATTTTTATTTCAATAAAACTGAAAATATACGAGATTGCATGATTTGAGAAACGATCGTCGTTAACTCCCTGCCGAAATGACCGCTATCGGAGGTAATCCGGAAGATCTGGGATTCATTCTTTTCTGCAGCAGGGCCTTTAATTTTCTTTTACACTCTTTTAATCTAATGAAACTCTATTGCTCATATTACGAAATGTTGAATTTACTTTCCATCTTGAGTTGTTGCAAAAATTACACAAAGTATGGCTTGGCAAATATAGTCTTGCTGTATTTGTCGAGCTAATCTTTTATAACCTATCCATTTATTTTTTATATTTTCTATATTTCATTTGATATGTAATATGTATTGTCAAGATGCGTATCACATGAACGACATGCACAATTACACGCATCTTCGCGGTCGGTTTACGCGGTTGGTTTTCGCGAACGGTTTTTCAGGAAAAAATTTTAATTAAAAATTAATTACTTAATTTTATCCATATTATAAATTTTAATTTATCAAGGAATATCATTAAAATCACTTTAACGCGAAGTAAATTTGTTTTCTATATCTATTCGACTTTTGAATTCTAAGATCATTTTACGAAGAGATGATCAATATGTTTAAATAAATAACGGAAGTAAAAATAAATTTGATTCGTACATACCGTAAAGTTTTTTGAATTAATATTTTTCTTTTAATTAACTTCTCGTGGTCGTGCATTTTGCGATACGATCGTCACTCGAATATATTCGAACCGTACGAAATATTTGTCGGTGATGATAACCGACTAATGGAAGGAGTTTTCTTCCTTCCTGTTCTCTGGTCAAAATGACCAGACTGTATGGCCAGGAGCAACGATAGGTTCAATCTGGCCCAACGCATTGGTATCGCATGAATGGATGCGTATCGCATGAACAACATGCACAATTACACGCATCTTCGCGGTCGGTTTACGCGGTCGGTTTTCGCGATCGGTTTTTCAGGAAAAATTTTCAATTAATTATTTAATTTTATCCATATTATAAATTTTAATTTATCGTGGAATATGATTAAAATCACTCTAACGCGAAGTAAATTTTTTTTGCCAAAAGATGGTCAATATTTTTAAATAAATAACGGAAGTAAAATTAAATTTGATTTGTATATACAGTAAAGTTTTTTGAATTAATATTTTCTTTCAACTAACCTCTCGTGGTCGTGCATTTTGCGATACGTTCGACACTCGTATATTCGAACCGTACGAAATATTTGTCGGTGACAATAACCGACTATGGAAGGAGTTTTCTTCCTTCCTGATCTCTGGTCAAAATGACCAGATTGTATGGCCGGGAGCAACGAAAGGTAAGTCCAATCTGGCCCACCGAAGGACTAAATACGACGAGGTATGTGGTCAATATTGGCCACTCTGATTGAGTACCTAAATAAGGTACTCTACGAAGTATACTTTGATTTCTTTTAATTTGTCACAATTCGGGTGGGTTATGCTTCTATATACATACATTCTCGCATATGTGCGAGAGTAAACCCCTGTTAAATCCCGCGGTTGCGTTAAAGCCCAATTCAAACCCCTAGAAAATCGCGTCGCGGTTAATTAAAGATTTGTAGGTTCATTATGTTGAAACAGGTAGAAATTGGATAAATAGGTCTATGTATAGATCGGAATACGGGTAGGTAGGGATTCGGATAGTCAGGGATAGGGGGACATAATTCGAGAGTTTAAAATATTAGATAACATAATTATTGTACGTATACCGAATATTTCATATACATATAACGTCGAGAGAAATATTGTAGGTGTTGTTTAAATATTTTATTTTAAACTTTAAAATGTCAGTATTTCTTTTATTAGGTATATTATAAGTGTATTGTAAAGTAAGTTATACGAAAAATAAAATAAATAATAAAAATGTAAGAAATCAAACTGTAAAGAAAAGAGGACCGTCGATTAAACGCAGCGAGGGTGGTGGAGGGCCTCTATATAGGTCGATTTGTTTCTGTTGAATAAAATTTTAGTTCAATTTGATTCACATAATCTTTTAATCGATAATTTCGTTTGCAATTGATCGATAAATTTGCCTTTACAGTTTGATTTTTCGTTTGCACATTAATAAAAAATGGTGTACAATTATAAGCCCAACCACATATGTAACACGTTGTGTGTACTGTATAACATTTTCTATTAATGTTTTACATTGTAAAAGTTAGGTACATATTATTGTAAATACATGTAACATGTTCATATGTAATTTTGTGTCTTAATGAAAAATTGTACATATTTTTATTGTGTATCATGTTTTCAGATTCGCTATAATAACTTTTTCTTTTTTTATATTTTTGTATTATATTTTTGTATATATTTTAAAATATGTTGTGAATAACATTAAGTTATAGAAATGTAAAAACGCAATTTTATCGCAAATAAAAGAGGACCGCCGATAAGGATTCGGCGGGGGTGGTGGAGGGCCTCTATAAGTTAACCGACGTTTGTGAAACTGGCCCTAAAAGTGTCTTGTAGCTATTCAAAAGGCGTATCGGCCACTTTTGGAGGCGCTTTAATTGATAAAAGAGAGTTTAGAATATCATAGACTTCTGTAGGCCGGTATTCATGTATTTAAGACCGTTTTAAATTTACCTAAAGATGCTGCATGGAACATTTCATTGGCAATGATCAAAAGATGAAATTAAGGCAGTCTTGAATATACGATTTGACTATGAATACTGGCCCTAGAGTACTGTTATTTTTGTATTTCTCCCTCTTTCTAAGATTCTTTTGACGATAAAACATTTCCAGAGAGGAGTATGTATGCAATATTGCGTACGTGCAAGATATTTCTGAAGTATATTTGTTTGGAATTAAATTTTGCGTGAATGATTAATTCTCGAATTTTACAATAGATTGGAAGTTCGAGGTAAAGTATAAAAATGAGATATAAAATCTTTGCCGCTAAAATTAATTATGCAAAGTTTTTAATTCTATTAGTTGCAGTCTCGTGTTCAACAGGCTTCTTAAATCATTTTGATTGAAAGCAAGTATGTGATCGATGATATAATAGCGTTATTTTTAACATATCCATTTTAGCTTTTTTTTAAAATGTCTGTAAGACCGAACAGCGTGAAATGTGTTAACCTTGCACCGGTAATGTAGCAAGCTGTGATAACGTTCATTTATCAGCTGTGGAACAACGTGAGCTCGCAACGTTTGCATTTCAAATTACGCATGATGCTGTCAGCAAAAATTATACATATGTGCTGCTGTAATACGACGTTGTCTACAAAGGTAAGAAACGTTGTATATGTGTCGATATTACACAGAGAGAAAAAAATAGTCATTTTTGGACCCAACCATATTTTTATAATTCCTCCAACGTAATTTATGGTTGACCTAACAATATTATAGTTCTCATAAACACAATATTGGTCCATGCAATTATAAAAATATGGTTGGGTCCAAAAATGACTATTTTTTTCTCTCAGTGTATATATCATGTATTGGTATCTTTTAAAAAAAGATACCAAGCTCTCATTGGAAGTCACTTGCCAGTACTAGCAGTTGCAACTTGATACGTTGTAATCATTCTTTTCAAAAATGTTGACGCAAGATAAATCTTCAAGGAAGAGATACGGATACACGTTACATTTCTTACATTCTTTCGACTCTAGATGCGCTGAAATAATTTTCCAGAGAGAGATGCAGATTCAAAATGTGTGTAAAGTTAGCCCCGCTTTTTCAAAATTCGTAAAAATTAATTACAGTTCTGAATGTAGAAAATAGTATCCGGTATCTGTGTGTGCATCTGTATTGGTATCTTTTAAAAAAGATACCAAGCTCTGATCGTACGTACGAAACCTTCTTAAGCCTTCGCTCTCGAACGGCAAGAGCCGAGGAGAGGACTCGGCGCGTTTGAACGGAAGCGCGGGAGGAAGATTGGCGCGTGCCGGCCACGAGTCGCGCCGAGCCGGGACACGCGATTGCAATGGCGTAGCGATCGATTTCGCACGCCCGATTTCGAATTCATCTTCGCTCACGGGTCGCGCGCGGCACGCTCGTACGCGGGGAAAATAGAGCGGTTAACTGGCAGGACCTGAGAAGGCGACGTGCGCAGCCCGCGTTCAATTAAACTCGCAGCGCGATTAAGAGATTCGTCCTCGCGAATTCCCCCGTTTATTCGTGTCCGTCGTTACGGTTACGTAATCCGATTTGATTGCCGCTTTAATTTCGTGTGTGGGAGTTTGTCATCGTGACTCGCCGAAAGGGAAGCTCAAGGAGACGAGCGTGGAAAGTGTGAAAGAATGCGCTTCATCTTGCGGAAATAAAAACTTGGCTGACGCAGTAGCAGGCCGTTCCTGAAATTGAGATAAATCCGTTGCAGAAAGTGATAAATTATTATAGATGATAGATGATAACGCGGCACTGCGGATACGTTAACGGAGAGTTTAATAACTCGTGGCGGTTCACCGATTAGCGATTAAAGCGCTTGACCTCGCGTAGAAATTTGCAGGGTGATCCGCCGCGGACGATTCGTCGCGGAATAACTGCAAGTTGACTGGCTATACATTTCTCGAAATTAGAACTTAGGCCAAGTTCTAGCATCGTGGACACAGGCCTTAAAAAAAGTTAAGATCCGAATTTATTGAACGTCTACAATGAGATCTTTAAGACGTAAGGTTTAAAATGACCAATCGCAGTCGATTATTCTCCTGACATTCGATTGCGATAAGGTTTCTTAAACCTTACGTCTTGAACATCTCACTGTAGACGCCGCAAAAAGCGACAAGATCTTGGGTAAATTTTCACGTCGGTTACTCTCCAGTGTGTTTGCCGAAATAATTGATCCATCAAAAATACCTCCGGGGTTTTAGCAGGTGCCAGAAACGCGCGATATTTCAAATGAACTTTAATTATTATAATGACGCAAAGTTAAAAAAATAAAAGTTCGCGTAAACATCGTGTATCTACAACAACTATTAAAACTGCAGTCGCGCCCGTTAATAAAAGCGAGGGGAACGAACGGAGACGACGAATCCGATGCTCCTAATTAAATGCCGGCGATTATGCACGTCGCCGCCGCCGCGCTCGGCGCGGAGCGGAGCGGAGCGGAGTCGCGGGCCGCCCGGTCAGTCGCGGTTCGGTTCAGTTCAGTTCGCGCACCGCCGCCACGGAGCGAGGACGTGCGCTGGATGCTCCGCGGCGCGTGGCCACTCGCCGAAGAGACGGGACGAAAGGTAACACCGTGGGATCCCCGTTGATCGCCCGCGCGATCTCTTGCGCTCTCTCGATCCCGTTTACGCCGGATGCCGTATAACTGCCAGTCATGATCTCCGCCGAGACGCGACACCGCCGCCCGAGCACGCCGCTGCTCCTCCTCCTGCCGCTGCTGTGCGACCTCGTGGCCGCGTCGTACGCCCGATCCTGGGGTAAGAAGTCATGAGAGAGACGTGGACGGACGGCGCGCGACAGGTGCACGCCGGGGACGTTCGGCGATCACCGAGGGCGATCCCATCCCCCGGTGACATTACTTACCGCGCGCGCCGGCAATCACGGGGGTCGTCGAGCGCCGCGCGCGCGCGCGCGCGCACACACACCGCCGTGACGGCCGGCCCGCGCGCGTACATGCGCCCGTCCGTGTGCGCGCGTCGCGCGCGTGTCCGTGCCACGGGCGCCGACTCCATTCACCCGCGGCGGCTCGTCACGTACGCCACTCTTGCGCGCTCGTCACGGCGCGCGCGAAAGCGGCGCGAAAGCTGAATGGGACGCGACGGCGAGCGGCGACCCGCGTCAACGTCGGCCCGTCGCCGAACGTCCGGCGCATCGCGATCGCCCGCGCTCGCTCGCCCTTGCACCTGTTTTACGTAACGAATGTCACTACGCGGCTCCGCGGACGTGACCGCCGCGGCCGCGCGCGCGCGCGCGCGTCAATGGGACGCGGAAGCGGGCGAATCGCGATGACCGCGAGGTCGTCCGGGAGGAACGTTCGGGCACGTTTCCCCGCGGCGATGTCGGAGGTCGTCGAAATTCGGACGTCGCGACAATCTGCTTCCCTTCCTCGGAGAACCTCGCGCGTTTTCCCGCGGAGTCAACGCGGGCGGGACCTTGCGACCTTATCTCGTCCGTGAAACAGAAAATAGAAAGCCGCTCTGTGTGTGTGCGTACCTTGAGCCGGTTCCTGGTTTCTGGCAGCCTAAGAGAGAATGAGAGAGGGAGAGGAGAGATAGAAAGAGAAAGAGCGCGTAATAGAAATCAATTAAGATCGCTTAAAAATCCGGGGCCGGGAGTTCATTTCCATCTCGACGCGTTAATACGCGTTGGATAATCGGGGACACGCGCGTTAGTATGCGCGCCTGAAATGTTGACGCTAAATACGCTCTTAGGGAAAGCCAGTAGTCAAAGATCAAAGTCGCGTGGAGCACGAGAATATAAATAATAACATATTATATAATCTGGTGGGAAACGTTTCTCCATCGAGACGCAATTATTTACGCGATCTCGAAATTCCTCTCCCTGGCGTCAGTTTCCTCCTCTTTCTATTAGATTTATCTCTCGCGCGACCATTAATTTATATATATTCAAAATTATCGAGCGGAAAGTTATAAATAGAGTCAAGTACGCGCAATCGTCTCGCGGTCGCGAAGATGATCGATCAGCCCTGAGAAAAATCGCACCGCCGTTTCTACGCACTTCTCGGCTTGGATATTGATACGCGTAAGCATTATCGGCGAGCGCTTCTTCTTTCGGCAAACAGAAGATGTGCCAACGAAAGCCGCCGCGCCGTTCGCGAGCGGAAGGAGGTTCAATTCTTTCGCACCTCGGGCTGTCGGGTTTTTAACGCACGGAAATAACTGTACTCTGGGAAAAAAAAAGACAGCAACCCATTTTGGGGCCCGCAATTAGTAATCGAATTACTTATTTGGATTGTTCGTGACTTCACTCTGGGAATAATTTTGACTGTTAGTTTTTTCTGTAGTTTCGGTCAGTGCCTCTTAAGTGAAAATTATCTTTGCGTTACCGAATATCGACAGAACTAATTGAGAGAATTGATTAGTATTACTTTAAAATCTTGGATATAGATCGAATAGCTGATTGCGATTCTTAGTTATGCCGGGTAAAATTCGTAAAATATTAGAGTTACGAACAATCTAAATAATTCGATTACTAATTGTGGGCCCCAAAATGAGTTGCTGTCTTTTTTTCCCCCAGAGTAGATGCCGTAGCTGAAAACTGTAGCTGCCGTTTGCTGTGGTTTAGAAATTTAAAGTTAACGCAGTAAAATATAATATTTTTAGGGAATTACGATTATAGCTAGGGCAGCGAAATTTTTCAGCGCGAGGCCGAGGTGTGTTGAATCGCACCTGTTCCGGCGTGTGAAAAATCGTGCGTGCACGCAGAAAAAAATCAGGCAAAAAGAGATAATATTATAAATGAGGCGTATAAAAAAGGCGACATGTGGCAAGGCGCGAACCTAATTTCCATAAATTTGCCTTCTCACACAATGGCGGGGTCTAAATGCGGTTTGCGCATTACCCGCTGGAAGTACGTCGTGCGGACGCGATTTTATCGTTTGCGGAGCCTTTGGGAACCGCAGACTCGATGAACGGTGATTCGAGAGACGCGCACCCGACTGTCATTGTCCCGCGGCGAAATTTCATTCTTGCTCGCTGACACGTGGAATTATTCCGTACGTAAGTTCCCTGAACGACATTTGCCCCAGGTGTACAATTCTCAGCGCTACCGAGTTCCGCTTGATCGAATAAATAATACAGGCTCGGGCAAATAATTCGGATAATGGAATGGTATAAGTTTTGTGCGCGCAAGCATATACGATTCTTAACGACGTTACACTGTATCGGTCAGTAATGCACAATGTTGTCGAAGGCTGTGCATTAATCGGCCGGTGTTTACGATATTTCACGATGCATAATGCATAACGAGCCGACATTAAGAAGAAGAAAAAAAAATAGGCCTGTTTGACTCGGCGGTAACTTAATCGCAGTTGTATCTCTCGTTTGTAATCGATAATAAATACGGTACCACTCGTGAATTTCGAAGAGACTGAACAGGCGGAAATACCTACAGAGAGATGCAAAAATAAGAAAAAGAAGCCTCTTGATGTGAAAGTTGTGTCTTCTGCGCTGATCTGATAATATTTCTCTCTTGGAAACTCGCTCCATTTCGATTATAAGGAGCACTGGGAAAGAGAGGCGCGTCTAATACGAACGACTTACAATGCCGAACACAAATTAACTTTAACTACCCGATTGACCGTAAATACATGCTACGAATCTATTTACTTGAAGTACCTTAAGTTGCGATTTTATGAAGTATCCGAATGGCCGTAAATATACTATTAATTTATCTTTTATTCTATGAGATAGTGAGAGAAGGAAAGAATGATTGAAGGGTCGAAGGTTAAGTGCGGAGAGATAGAAAAGTTGATATGATAATAGAGCAAGAGAAAGCGGAAGTCGCGGAGAGAGTGCGTGTGTATGCGTTATCAGAGATATAAAGAGGGCCTAGAAGGAGATGGCTCTTTCTCTCAAGGAATAATTATAATAGTTAATAAGTTTAGTATTAAGTGCAAATTTAAGTTTAGGTTACGGAGATTATCTAGAACAAGTGGCGTATGTGGAGATAATTATGAGATTGTATGCCCTAAGGGGATCGATAAAGATTATTATTATTATCTTTTATTCTAAATACCGTAGGTTGCGATTTGACGATTGAATTACTCAACGCTGATGTGGAGAGATAGAATAGTTATCGCTAGAATGTTGTGTCTCGTGATAAAATTGATCGCGCGGCGTACTTTCCCGTACGACTCGCAATCGATCGTCGCCGAGAGCGAAAGGAAGTAACGAGATAGTCCATCCGGAAAAATTGCATGAACCCAACATGTCACTCGGTCGCATCGATTTGTGGCGACGCGCGATAATTCTCAATTGTGCAAGTTGACGGATTAGAATATTTCCCGCAGAAATTTCCGCGACGGTCGGCGCATGCGTCAAATTCGCTGTCGTAATCGCCGCCGTCCTCCCGAGATCGCGACTCGCGGGTCGGCAAACTCGGGGCTACGTTTTGCCTAAACAGAAAATGTTACAACTTCCAGGTTTTATCGTATACGTTTGCGGACGCGAAATAGATACGCGAAAATGCAGAGCGTTAAAAAGTCATTTAGCTTCATTTGGTTCACGCTCAGTCTTTACCGTTGTTTCTTGCCACTTATCTTTATACTCGTTAATCCTATCGCGACTGTCGGTTGCAATTACGGATATTACGTTTAGCACAGCACAGGATTTTTTTTTACTTTATAAAGATGCATTTGCACGTCTTTCGTTACCAAGCCGGACAACGGGTATCAGAACATAAAAATGCAGCAAGTGTCATCCGTTATCGTTAGCAACACTTAAAGCGTACTTTATCATCGTTGTCCGTCAAGTCTTAATCTGCGTGGCTACGACTTAGAAATTGCTCGGTAACGGAGATATTATGCGCACCGTGTAAGTGTAAAAAGAACGCACGTAAGTTTTCCGACAGATAGACCGAGGCGTAAATGTTTCGCGCGGAGAGCGCAGCGGATTCTCAAGTGGCGCGCGACGTGCGATCGTAGTTGCCGCGGAGAATTGGCGCGAAAATACCATCGCCGAGGTTTTTCCTCGATTCCGCTCGTTATCGCTGGTAATCTCGGGCGCTGCGCAAGGTCGGCCTGATGTAACATATCACGTAATCACAATAGCACATTACGATACGTAGTACTTTCTGACTAATCGACGATAAGAGCTCGAGAGCGATGATTTGTAGATTGAAGTGCGATGGCGATCTTTCTACGATTTATTCGCACGTACTTGCGAAAGCGTGAAAACAATTCCAATTGTTTTCTTTTTAATTTATTAGTCCGATTAATGCACGGTTATTCGTCGAAACTTCATTTCGCGTTACGAAGCTCTTCCGCCCCAATAGCCTCGCTGGCTTTTTTCCGACTGCCAAAATTGATTAGTTCACCTTTCTCGAGATCAGATTCTGAATTAGGGTTCTTTTTTCTGCAGACTTAGCCGTGGTAATCGGCAACGAAATCGACTTCTTCGCGCGTAACAGTACACCCATGGGCCAGGCTAGCATCAGAGAAGCCATTGCCCTGACCGGAGTAACGTACGACGACACCACTCGAACGATGTATTTGTCTGACGTAAGGAACACCGTATCTATATTCAGCAACGATCTCACGGAAAGGAATTTCACGTCGACTCCCCTGCTGAAGAGTAAGTGCACCGCGAATTAATTCAATTACCATAGCGGATTTTTTCGAGATCGCCCAGATTTGTAACCTCTTTTCTTTTCGACTAATTCTGATATTTTGACATTTAAAGATAAAAGCATCGCTCTTCTTTGAGATAGCAAAATGAAAATAGGTAGAAAAAAGTTTCTTATTATGCGATAGGCTCGTAATGTGAGATAGCAGGTTTTCAACATCCAAATTTAATCACAAATCCCTTTGCGCAACGATTACACAATCTAAAAATTAAGTTTTTACTAAACAGATTTCGCTTGAACAGCAATAAATTCATGGTGGAACCAACAGATGATGCTTATTAATGTATTGAGACGGGAAACTTATATTCAACCCAACTGGCTAGTTACTTTATTAATTTACTACAACGTTTCGACCCTATTTTTCGGGTCCTTATCAAGTGGTACTAAGTCAGTTATCGTCGTCGAATAAGACAGAGTCGAATTCTAAAATGTACGCATATGTACGTGGTCGCTGGACCCAAAAAATAGAGTCGAAACGTTGTAGTGAATTAATAAAGTAACTAGCCAGTTGGGTTGACTGTAAGTTTCCCGTCTCAATTTTTAATCATTATTGGTGACGATAAGCAAACTCTCCTTTCGCTTATTAATGTAGTAGAAACTCCGCTGTCTCTTTAAGAGGAGCCTGTCTCATAATAGGGGACTTTCCTCCATATATCATTAAACAATTTTCTTAATACATTTCAATTATTATTGATTTACATAAGATTGCTTCTGACATTTAAAGAACGTATTTAAGAAATTTCCTCGGTTATTAATTAATTGATTTTATCGGTACGTTACAAGATGAAAATGTACAAATGTAGACGGTATCAAAGTTCATGCCAACGCGATTCTCGCGGTCTACGTTCACAGAAATGCCAACGAAATCGCTTTCGCTTGACGAGGCGAATTTTTAAAAAATTTTAAATTTTTTAAATTTAAAATTTAAGTTTTTTATTTTAATTTTAAATTTAAAATTTTTAATGTTAATTTTTTAATTTTCAATTAAGAAAATTTTTTATATTTTTTTAAAAAGAAATTCCGCAGAGTTTGCCACGTGTCCCATTTGCGCAATCCGATTCGACCGGTTTTATCGATGAAAAATCATTTATCCGGGCGCAATCATCGAAGAGATCCTTCGCGCGGACTCCCTCGCGATCGACGTCATCGATGATTGCGCGCGCGGATCCCTGGGACCCTTTATATTCCACTTTTCCTCCCAGAAACGACGTAATCTCTTGCTGAACATTTACAACGAAGATACTACATAAATTAACGCGTGAAAAATCCTCGCGCGTACTCTCCTATACTTACAATTAAACATCTCTGGAGCGGGAGAGATTCGAAATAAATGCGCGCAATGTAGACACTCGTGAGATAGCTTTACGTCGCTGTTCACATCGTTGAATTGCGTGTGCGTAGAGGAGAATGGGACGCACGTCGTCGGGATCGTTTTCGACACGTCGTCGCGCACTCTGTTCTGGGTCGACGCCTTGAAGGACACCATCGCGAGGATGCACGTGCCGCTGAACGGTACGCCGGGCGATCCTGTCGTTTTGCACAATCTTACCGGGAGCAGCCCACGTGGCATCGCCCTCGACGTGTGTAACAGGTGTGCCATTTACAATGTCCTGCGTCACAGAAATTACTCTTCTCGTCCGCTGACGTATTCGTAGAATCGAGAAATGTCGTCAGTAAAATGTCATCAGTAAAAAATTGCAATAGTAAAATATAAACGTAGATAAAGATCGTGACAATGCGTTCGAGGATCTGCAGAGTATGTCGATCCTTAATTAATTTTATTGTGAAATTAAATTGTATTAATTTATAATTTGTTACAGTGATTTTATCAATCTTGAAATATCATATACTTGTAATTCGGAATTTACTTTAGTAATATCCGATGATTGGACACATTATAAATAAAGTAGAAGAAAGTCCGCTATTTTGAGATACGTTTCTAATATGAGATAGCAGGTTTTCAACACCCAAATTTAATCACAAATCTTTTTTCGCAACGTTTACACGATCTGACAATGAATTTTCCACTAAACAGATTTCACTCCAAGGGCCATGAATTCATGGTGGAGTCAACAGATAATGGCCATTAATTTAACAAAAACTCCGCTATCTCATAACAAGGGACTTTCCTCTATATATAAAATAGAGGTATTGATAGTCATGCATAATGCACTGAAAACAGAGCGAAAAGAAGTAAAGCACAGGATATAAAAATGGATCCCATATGGATAGCTGTCGCAGCAATTCCGCACACATTCGTCTGTCTCGCGTTGTCAGCGAATGCTTTATAATACAAAAAAAGTATCAAAAATGCAGTCGAAAATATGAGCCTGAAAAAAGTGTTGTTCTCACTGAAATATTCCGATCGTCTGCCATTTCGTGTATCGGCATATAAAAAGATCTTATATAACAAAATATTTTATTACATTCTACCATTGCGTATAAAAAGGTTATAACTGTAGAGTTTATCATACAAACTTGATTTTATATTTTTACATATTTATAAAGCTCGATTGCTTCGTAAGCGATTATATAATAATCAATGCAAACTAAATGTCGTGTGGTTTACTTCGTGTTCCACCAAGCTGAGGAGGGAGAAAAACAATTGAAAAAAAATCGATAATAACTGCAAACTTCTTCCTCAGCCGCATATACTGGGTAAACAGTAACATGTCAAATCCCAGCATCGAGTGTTCCGATATCGACGGGAATAATCGGACAATCGTCATCAAGGAGAATCTGTATGAGCCTCTGGCAGTGGCGATCGACCACACGGAGCGAAAGCTCTACTGGATCGACGATGACGAGGGGATCCACTTCAAGATCGAGCGCAGCAACTTGGATGGCAGTCAACGAGAATTACTGGTCCATAACAAGCATCAGCAGCCGGTTTATCTGGCAGTGGACAACGAGTCGATATACTGGTCCGATTGGGTCCACAGCGCGGTCTGGACCATGCCGAAGAACGCGAAGGCTGGGGATTATCCAACCAAGTTCAAATCGTACTACGACGAGAGAAGGGACGCCGATCCGGCCGGCATCGTGACGCGCGACAACGTCGGCCAGATCGATTGCGCGACGATTCTATCGGCGATAGAGAAGAGACCGCACCTGTCGGTGCCAGATCTACAACCGGCGATCAAGACATTCAATAATTTAACTACCAGCACGGAGGAATCGGACTTGACCACCGAGAACTCCAAATACTGCCTAAACGACGGCCATTTGAACAAAGTAAACGACACGTGCCGATGTAAAAAAGGGTGAGTCACTTTAGCCGAACGTATAAGACTGACTGAATAAACGTGTCACTAAAGAAATGTATATTACTATATAAATTTATCTTGTTTTTTAGATTAGATTATAATCTAATGATATATAAAATTTTAATATGACTCTTAAATATAAATTTTCGTTAGTTGTAAGCGTTGGTTGTAAACGATTTCGCAGATATCTATTAAAGGATATCTATTAAATTAGTTGAACGTTTCCGTGGTTTGGCATGGAATTTGAGAATTTGTACAATTCTTGCAGGTTCACCGGACCCTTTTGCGAAACATCCCTCTGTCACAATTACTGCCTCCGTGGTAAATGCATTGTAAACCATCACGGACTTCCTGAATGCAATTGCATGGGCACGTTTAGTGGCCCTCGTTGCGAGACGGACGTTTGTAATGGTTACTGCCTTTATGACGGTGTGTGTTCCGTCCAAGATGGAAGGCCATCCTGTAGTTGTAAATATTCCAAAGGGACCCGATGTGAAGAACCAGACGATATCCCGACGATTTGCGCGACATATTGCGCGAGCGATCGCGTGATTAAATCACACGACGTCAGTGTGACATCGTGCAGGTACGTCTTTCTCTATTCGCACTAATTAATAATTTCATGTATGTTTCCAGTATTTAATAATAATCTTTAATAATAATATTCAATAGTAATCTTAACACAGAAAAATAGTTAGAAGTTTTAAGGTCACGTTTGCGCTTAAAAATATTACTATTAGTTTGCAATGAAGCTGTTGTGATTCAGAGAGAATGTCCGAGTTTGAAGGCTATCTATAACGTTTAAGTGCACGTTGTGTATTCTGTAAAAATGTTCTGCAACGCTGTATCTCTGTAATAAACTATGCAGCATTGTAAAGCTAGAGAGAAAGTACGAAGAATGAAAAGAAAAAAGGAGCCAAAGAACTACAGAGCTTGCAGAACGAAAATTTGCTTACAGAATGCACTCAAGTGTACATTAATGTATCTTAATATCTCGTTGTATATCAACAGGTGTACAGACTCTGATCAAACGGCCGAAAGAATTACGCTTAGCGACAGTTTTCAAAACGGTGTGCTGCTACCGATATTCGGAGCGCTCGTCGGTGTGTTTATTCTAATAATCGCCATACTCAGTTATTATGTGGACAAATTACGGAGGCGATCGCGAATCAAGAGGCACTACGTGGTCAGTAAGGGCGTCACGCCGCTCACGTCCCGGCCGCAGATACCGGGTCAGTGCGAAATTACCATAGAGAATTGCTGCAACATGAATATCTGCGAAACTGTGAGTGACATGTCATCTAAATAACGCCTCAAGTAATTGATAACACGCGTCGCGCCAATGTTGCTAACGCTAAAGAAACTTAAGACCGAATCTCACGACACCCGTCCTCCTCGTGTCTCGCACTTTGCTTCCGATGCAAAATATGTCTCGCAATTGCGGTTATCGCACTCCTGTATAATTACGATAAGTTACTAGAAAAGAAGCTTTATTTGGCTCTGTTGGCAAGAACACGCAATTGCATGACTTTTTAGCTACGAATCCAAGAATGCAACGAAGTATTTACTTTTTACGAAGCCACTACCTTTAATTAGGATTATAGATGACTTTCTATGCTTCAATATCTTTTCTTGAAAGAAGATATCAAATTTGTTTGTGTATTCTGAATTACATATCTACACGGAAAAGAGTGCTGTTGAATTAAACGTTAACGTTACGGGCTGCCACACACACAAATAATGTACTCGATTGTATTTGCTTTGGATTTTAATTTTAAGCATTGAACTAAACATCCAGATTATTAAGACAACAATATGTTTTTCATTTATTAATACTGATATTGTCTCAACGATTTTATTTTAATTACACTGATCTTGTTGCTACAACATCATTCTTTTTCCCGTGTATGAATATGTAGGCTATTTGCGTATGTCTGCCTTAGAAAGAAAGAGACGCTCGTTATACGTTATTTAAGTTATTAAACTGCCACATTGGATAGTGGAAGTCAGAACAGTATTGCGCTAGTATTACATTGTGACTAATCTCTCCAATTATTTATTTATTACTTTATTAATTTTATACTTTTTACATAAAATACGCATAGTTATTAGGAAATAAATATGCAATACGAGGGACGTAATTTCATTTATATAATTAACGTAGCTTTGCTACGTTAAGCTAATGCATAACAGACTTTTTGATTACGTACTGCACTTTGTAATCAATTTTATATAAACCTTTTTCTAATTAACAATTTTATGCATTTTTCGCGCTTATTAAAATATTAATCGCGAGAATAGGAGCAAGTATGTGATTGCCAGTATTCTACATACTTAAATATAATTAAAAGAATGATTGAATTATATTCTTAATCTTACTATTATTTTATCCAGTTTTATAACAGTATTTTCGAAATTCGCATTGCCACTTTGAAGAAAGGTCAGCATTAATTGATTCATTATCTTATAACAGAATTAAAGAGTGTACAAAGTCAAATTATGCTATCTCCTTTACGAGCGCCGCTAATGTGTTCTTGCATAGATTTCACTTGTGTACGCAATGTCAACGATCGAATTATGCTAAGACTGGATCTGTTTTGCCGTTACATTCCAATTCAGCAATCGAAGCTAAATTGGACTGTAATCCTTCGTTGCGGTGCTAATTATGCGATAACGTCAACGGTTTATAGCCTTGTTTTTCTCGCGCACAGTTCTGAAATACGATGTATATTTATTATAAACTACGACTTGGAAATAAACGACGATTGTATTAAGAATACGACTTCCTACAAAGACGCCTGTGCTTGAAGAACTAATATCACTTGAGAGGCATTAAGCATTTGAGAAGATTTATCTTGCCATGTGCTGAGCTGTTTTGAAATTTATGCAAATTTAAAATAGAGTTTCTTAGTTTACTTCGCTTGCAAAAATAAGTATCAGTGATTGTGACATAGATAACAAGATAATTTCGTTCTTTTGCAGCCGTGTTTCGAACCGAAATTACGAAATGGTGCGCCAAGGAGCAATAATATGAAAAAGGAAGAGAAGAACCTCTTGTTGGATAATATGGAGGGTAATTCGTGCTAGCACATGCTACTCTCGTCACGTCGCATGAAATATCGAGAACTCTGTACGAGCTCTGCACCGCGTCGGAGATCGTATTCGCGGGACTGTCCCGCGCGTTTGTATATAATACGGCGGCGACTTGTAGTATTGTTGTTAAGTTTGCAAGTATCCGTGTTGATGGGATGCGCATGAGCGCGCTATATCGACGACGATTTCGCTCCATCTTGGAAAAGGAAGCCAAAGGTCTTTTTAGAAGGTCCTATTTCTTAGTACGTCATACGTTAGGGCTGTGTTTTAGAAACATTTTGTCACTTAGTAGCCGTTAAATTTACCGTTTGACGTTGTCAGATATTTGTTTTAGGAATTATAAAGCTGGACTTTAGGTTTTTCTAAATCTGCCGGACGCAATCTCTCCCGATGCTAAAGTTTTAAATAAAATTGCGAAACGTTATTACAACTCGAGGATATAACAGTTTCTTATTGTTAAACCTTCGTGTTTATATAACAGCTGAATTCTATAAAATAATTTCGCAAAATTTCAATTTTAATATAAAATATGTAACTTCCGACAAAAAAATGTCAAAATTTGGTATTTGAGTCAAGCGAGCGAAGGGAAATGCGTCTGCAGTTCTAATTTTGTCTTAATCTATTTGATAGGTATCTACCAAGCAACATGATTATTCTAATATGAAAAGTTCTGTCTTATTTCTCTTGTATCATTTAGAAGAGAGTTCAAATGTGTGCAAAGTGGAAAGAGAAAGAATAAGGAAAAAGTATCGCAGTCACAAGGGGTGCGCAAAAGTTGCCTTAAGCGATAATTCTAATTGTTGCTCAAAAGTACCACTGAGTACATTCCTGAAAGAAATTTAGATCGCGATATGGCGTCGCAGAGATAAGTGATTCTCTTATAACATTTTTTGACTGAACCATCCGTCAACGGACTTTACAGTACATGATGTGAGTAATTTCATTACGTCAGATCGTAATTCGATAGTTAATTTCATTCATCATTCTTGGATTTTTTTTTACATATCACGTTTGTGGGAATATTGCCGCGCAAAAGCTTCGTCTCTTGACAAGCGCTTCTCTCTCTCTCAAACTCCATTCTCAGTTAATTCATTGAATTCACTTCGTGTACATTTTCAATCATGTTCAACCGCTGACCATTCTTTATCATACTGTGAGTACAATATATGCGTTAGGTATATATATAATATATTATATATATACCTAACATTTGTGAATGTACGAATGATGAGCTCGAGTTGAATCGTGCTCTTACGCACCTAAGATCCCTTAATCGCGAATTTGTTACTGCTGGATATTAATTCAACTCGAGAAGCGTTATCACGTAAATTCATAGTAGTGATATGAAAATTGATGTGGCATTGTCTAGGCAACTAAATATGTAATACGTGTATACATATGCTACATTACGAGGTATATATTAGATGAGAATAGGAAAACGTTCAAAGAGTCACAATGTATATAAACGATCCTCAAATACTGGATACCCCCCAGTGATAACATACACTGCAGATCTATGAAACTTTGCCAGAAGCTACACATCAATAATATCCGTGATTTTTAGTTTACTTAATTTTGAGGATCGTCAAGATCTTTTTTTTTCTTTATATAGTTTGACGACACCTGTAGCGTTCCTTACAGAGCAATATTTCGTTTACTTAACTCCGAAAACTTTTGTTCTATATCGATATATGTAACGCGGAGCCAACTTTAAGTCTTCTTCTTTTCTTCCAACTTTATTCCGCGAGAGCGAAAAATCTACCATTCTTATTTTCTATGCGCGTGCAGTTATGGTGGTTACAGCTCACGTGCGAGATCACGTACGAGGCGAATGGTGCACTTGTACATAAGAATCGAATTTATTTTGATCTTTTCATTCATAAGGAGGATGATCGCAAATTTTCATCTTTTTAACGTCTACATTTTTATTCAAATCAGCCGTTATTACATTACTATCTATAGCAGTAACGTAAAACGTACAATCTGTTACGTACACCAAAGTTGTTTTTAGTAATAATAACATGAAACAGAGTACAATATTATTGGTTTGCAGGAATTATATGTTGCATCTTCAACTAGCACACAATTTAATCTTTCACGATATTGTGACGATTTTATATGGAAGCCTCACATATATTGAAAAGTTTTGTTTCCAATTGCAATCACGTTAGACAATGGCAAACCAATGATGATTATGTTGTTCATTTAATTGTTTATTTATAGGAGTTATGTTATTTTTTATCATACGGAATAATGTTCCTGTCGTTGTGACAACAAATTATTCACAGTACATGACGATACTTTCTGTTCCTGTATACGATAGATGCTGTTAAAAAAAAAGGTCATATTTGTTTTTTAAATCTACTTTTTAATTTTTGTAATAAAGATTTGCGACATTTACCGACTCTATATATACATATATATAATATAACTATATACATGTATACATATATTTAAATATGAAAAGAATATATATATATACATATATATATGAAAGTTGCGCGATCTACGTATCGATATTGTATTTGGAAAATAGCCCTCTCCCACACACTCATCCCCAGAGACGGGATAGTGGATTTATGGTGAAAGGGTTATATTCCTGAAAAATATAAAAACCATGATGATGTATAAGATGCAATATGTCTCCGTACAATTTTGTTTTATGTATTCAAAATGATGAAATTTATCATACGCAATATTTCCTCGAATTCATTAGTTGATAAACGCAATTATCTTTATGCAGAAATGTTAATCTGATATTTTAAATATTTAATGCTTGATCTCCGTTATCTTGAACTCGATCTACTTTCTGCGTAGGAGTTCGAGAATTTATTGCGTTTACTTTAAATTATGTACTTAAACTTGGTAAGCTGTACTTAAATTGTGATTAAATTATTAGATTCTTCAAGTTATTAAATATTTACTTTGTAAGCGACATATTGCATATTTTGCATCTCTCTACAATGGTTATAATACTGGTTGCTATTGTATACAGAATAAAGTGAAATAAAATAGATTATCTCTTATTACTGGTGTGTCGTTGTTATGTATGTATGTCTTCAAGCGTCTAGTTTCTAAACTTTTACTTGGAACTACATATGCGACGGATATACATTTCATTACACATCTTCCTATTTATTATATATTTCATTATATGTTGTATGCATATATTTAATAAGTTTAAATTTTTATTTAAGTGGCCGCTCAATTCCTCTTTGGTGACTGGCAAACATATTTAAAGCTGTGTTTTCTCGACACTAAAATTCTCGAAGCGAAATCAAGAATCGCACGCGGGAAGCCTGTTAGATACTACACTAGACCAATCTGAATTAGGCTTAATATTAACATTAGGATAACTTCCTATGAGCCAACGAAACAATCGAATGCTTGTACCCATGGTAAAATGGCGTGTCTGAAGAGCACCCGCAAGACGTACAGCTTCGAAGAACGGAAACTCCTGATATCGCTGATAAACAAACACGACGTTATTCAGGATAGGAAATTGGACCCGATCTCTATGTGCAAACGGAAATCGGCGTGGAAGCGAATCGCCGAGGAGTACAACTTAACGGTAGGGTCTCAGGGTGCACGTACCGCCGTACAGCTCAAACGTTGCTGGGAGAATATGAAGGCCTGCAAGCGTAATCACGAGGAAAAGAAACTTCGGTAATTCGACATTATGAAGCAATGCTTTCGAGGTTAATCGAATTTAGCAGGACTTGACAATTGCAAGATTCGTACTTTTAAATTTGTAGTGTCAAATGTATTCAATGTGAGTCATTTTTAAACATTTCTAAGTCACCACTGCTCCTGCTCAATATAGAAATGATTAAAAATAAAATTAAATACAATTTGAGACTACGAATTTAAGTATAGTTTGAAAAAACGCATATTTAAAATTTTGTTTGTAAGAATTATAGAGCGACGAGAGAGTAGAAAAAAATAGCATCGAGTAAAATTTTCATTGCAAAGAAGAATCTGCTCCAACCTTGCCTAGAAGTTTGCTAGCAAGTGATTAGACTTTTCAACATGAATTTATGTGTAAAGAAAAAGTCCTGTGAGAATAAGAAGTATTTGGATTTTTATCTCTCATTGTCAGTGATAATACGAAGGTAATTTGTCAAACGACAAAGGACAAAAGGTGGGCGAGGAATCAGTGCTGGGAAGGTATAACTTGTAGCCAGAATATGTCGGAAGCGGCGGTGTCTACCGGAAACGGCGGTTTGCCACCGAATGTAGTATTCGAGCCGAAGGACTCAGAACCATTCACGTTGCAAAGTGTCTGCACTGCCGGATCTCAAAATCCAAATTGCCTGAAGAAAGACGCAGATAGTCGCAGAGATTTAAATTGTAAATGTACTTTTTTTCTTGTTTTACGCGTTTAATATAGTTTTTTAATGCACTCTCTGGAAAAGAGGACATTCTTTAATTATGCGAATAAATATAGTTAAAATAATGAACGATAAACAAATATCAATGAAAGGAAAACGTGAGAAATGATTTTCAAAATTGAATAGTTTCTAATTTGCACGTCGCGTTTTTTTTCTTGCTTAATCAGGATTTCTTCATAGGTTTATTATTTTGAGAAGGCGATAAAAGTATTGTTTTTGTAATATTATAATGATTTAATATTTGAATATTATTGTAAGTAGAGAGGCAGTACTTTTTAATTTCAGGCAAGTAATGAAAACTTAAAATAATTTGACTTTGTGCAGTTGACGGTGTATTCAAGCAAATAATCGCCGATAGAAATAAACACGTTGATATTGCACCACCCTCTGATTCAGTGGATGACTATTTTAAAAGATTCGTAACAAAAAGAAACTTGAATTCCCCTACGATCGGTCAGTCAACGGAAAATAATAAAATCGGAAAAGTCGCATGCCGAGAAATTCATGCAAATGCGGGACCGAGTGACCTGTACACGTCCATTTCGCCTTGCGTTGTGCAAGGGCACAATCGCAACGGGAAATCCATGCAGCGAGAAGAGGAGCTGCATGTATTGGCGCTTTCGGAGGCGCAGATGAAGGTCGACATCGCTGCCATGTTGAAGGAGGAGGCAAGGATCAAGCTGGAGGAGGCTCACTATCGCAAGGAGGAGGCCAGGCTTAAAATGCTGTTTTTTACTTACAAATTGAACAGGATTAAAAATGAGTAAAGGACAGCGGATAATTTTGTTGGATATACGCGAAGGACGCATTCTGGCAAGTCCATTATTTATCTTTGTTTTTGTTGATCCGATGCATCGGTATTGTTACCGGTGCTTGTGAGCACGACAGATCAGTTCTATGAGAAATATAAACGCAGTTGTGTCTTCATATAATACCAATTTATTTCTCATAAATATAAAATTAGGATATCATAATAAATATGAATCTTCTGATAAATTTACTTGCTAGTAATTAATTATTATTGCGTTAGGCGATGTTATTTGGTTTGTGACGAATGTTGCGCAGCTGTGACTTTTGACAAATGCAGACGCGATGGAAAGTTGATAAAATTATGAGAGTAATATAAAAGAAAAACGTTTCGATGTTCACGTTATTCGTACTGTTTGTTTGGATCAGTCATTTTTGGTAAAGTATAAGAGCACAGATAACTCGTCCTCGGTTCAAAAGTTTAAAAGAGAGATAACAAAAATTAGTTCTGTAAGAACGTAGAATTAAGTTTGCCACCACGAGTTTTCTATGCGTCTTAAAATACTCTTGATTATTTGAAACTTAAATTTCTATATTAATAACTATTTTGCAGTCATTTTGGAATGTTGTTTGAAACATTAGACGCTACTATTTCTGAAGCATCTTTAGGAAATATTTTCATAAAGCGATATCTTTAACTTCTCGATTGTTAGTAGTAATATTATATAAATGTAAGATCTAATTTAGATAATCTTTTCGACAATGTGATAAAAGTCGATCTAAATTAATTGGGATCCATTTGAAAGATTATTGATAAATGCTTGACAGTCATTAGCAGAGGGTTTGGCAGTGGACCATTGACTAGTGACAGAATAGATCATGTTGGAAGCTGATTTGTCATGGATCGGTTAGTCGTTTTCGTATACTCTCATTAAGGTAAATAAATAGAGCGGGGATCGTTCGCGTAACGCAATTTCGGGTTCGATCTACCCGCGAAATTCTTTTACATAAGATGAAAGTTATCGCTGAGAGCCGATTTCGTGGCGTTCGAGCAACGGGTGACCTCGAAAAGCGAGGGATCGGTGTAGATCGGCTCGCTCGGATCGAAACCGCCACGTCGGCCGGTGGATAATCCTACAGCACCCTCCAGAGCGGTGGGCGACGAGGCAAGACGTTGGCTGATAGCGTTGCTCATTGATCTTGAGATTGACCTATTAAACATTTCCTCCTGTTAACAAACTCCATTGCAAATTAGCTAAAGCTACAATAATTGAATATTAATCAAATCGATAATAATAATAAATAATCAGTTTTTGCAGAAGTGTTAAATATTTTATATAGATACTGTTCGTTTCGCTTTTCACTTACGACGCCTGAAACGGTTTTTGAAGACCCGCCCTCATAAAAGAAAAGTTATTGACCCGGCTGCTGTAATGGTCGTCGGAATGGCTGCTGCGGTTACAGGTTTTGTCGAGTCTACGATTTTTCATGATCACGGAATAAACGTATTTTCTGAAATAATGAATCACTTTACATTTGTTTAATAGTCAAAGAAGAGATGGTATATAAAACAAGAAACTTAGACATTTTATTAATATACTTCAAGTATAGGAAATTTTTTTTTATAGATTAATTAATTTTCGAAGGGACACGTTCTTCAATAGTGAAACGCGAATAAGGGATCGAAATCTATATTCTGCAAGGTTGACAAAGCATCAGGAGGACATGACCGGCGAGAAGGTCGCATTATCAAAAATTCCAAGAATTTTATTCATACTCGCAAGAATTTGCAGCGATGATAATAGAATTTTACCTGTAGACGAGCATAGACAAGAGAACGACGGAGGCTAAGAGCACGACGAGGATGCCCACTGCGGTAACCAAGCCATAGTATTCGTTTTGCGTTATACAAATATTTTCCAAGATCTTAGTTTGCTTCTCGACGATGGTGTCTTCCTCAATGTCCATTCTCGAGTCGAGAACCTATCAAAATACAGATAATATTATTGGATTGCGTGAAATGGAGATGACACCTTTCCATTCCTTCAAAGCGAGAGCGATCGATCTTTGGTACCTCTATCATTTCTCTGACGTGTTCTTCCTCCTCTTCGTCATCTAGCTCATCGTTCGCAGCGTCGGTCGCGTTGAAAATCGTCGTCGATGCGTTGTTAGAGTCACCGTCCGTCACCGCTATCGGCGATACCTCGTCCTCGTCCGCTACCGTGTCGTTATTTACGTCCCTTCGCCGCCTGCCGAAGGACGGCTCGCTTCTCCCGGTGCCGCCGGAGCAATACGCCGGCTGGCAACCATCGCGACACGTTCGCACGTTCGCCTCGAACACCAGGAAATTTGATTCGGGTATTTTGAAGGCGTTGAAGCGGGCCTCGAGACTGTCACCGTCGCGGAGGCGATCCAAACCCGGAAACACGTAGTTGTCTACCGGACAGCTGCAGAAATTTGCGAGGTTCAATCACGCGGATACGATACGCCCAATGTGTAGACGATTTGCAATGTAATTAAATTTCCCACATTGGCGTGTTACCATATATTGTTTAGTAATTAAATTTGTTTGGTCATTACGTAACTTGAACCATCTCAAGAAAGACCAAGATATATGTAGACAGAGAGAAGGTAGAACATTAATACTATATTATCTCCACAGTGTAGATAATGCTATTATAAAATCTCTCGGTCTTTCTCTCTTTCTCGCTATTAGGAGATTCAGTGATTCATACCCATATCTGTCTATCAGTTGGACACTTCTACCAGAGTAAGGATCTCTTGCGATAACATTGGTAGCAAATATGTCTGTTACGTAATTGTACCTGTGAGAAAATAATGAGGATTTCATTAAATTAAAATTATCAATGTCTTATAAGTACAGCAGTGAAGTTTTCAGTGTTCAATGTGCGAAAATGTAACGATACGAAGCTATTATTACCAGTGAACCGCGTTTTCTAAAATGTAATCTTGCAATTTTACTAATTCATCGCGCTTATCATGTTAAGAAATATACAAATGGAGATTACCCATCCTGAGCTTCGAGTCTGAAAGTGAGAGGGTCGCCGACAGCGATGGTCGTCGTAGGTCTACCCTGATAGAGAATCAACAAGCGCACTCTGGAGCTCAGGGTGTTTTCCGCTGGGAGATATTCAATGGGGATGGGAGACCCTGATCTGTACAGTGCACGTGCGAGACCCATTAGCGAAATTGAAATTGGAAATCGTCGGAAATATGGTAATAGGGACGTACGAAAAGTAACGTTAACGACGTAAATCAACTGATTAACTCTTGTTTTTAAATTTCAGTTCTACCAATTGATATAAAGTCAGCTCTCAACCGAATATATCATACACTTTTTTTATAAAAAACTGAAGTAATTATGCTAGCACAAAAAACAAAAATTTCCCGATATTTAATCCAAATCACACTTAATTTTTTAGCAAATAGCAACATTGTACGTGTAATACAGTGTAACATAAAATAGAACAGCAATTATAGGAATGGAATACGTGCGTAACATCCTTAGGTGACATTTGGGGCTAAATGTGTAATAAAAGAAATTGCACGGGCGTGCTTGCACCTATGTGTACTCGCGTACGATAAACGGAGCGTTTCACCTTACAGTTAACTCGCTAAGCATTACACGTGGATTCATGTTAACATGCAAAATTAATGAGCGAGGTAAGCCTAGAATAACACTGGAGCAATACCGTGATATTCGCTCAACGGATGTAAAGGCGAAGAATTTGACTGTTTGTCTAAACGATTCGTTTCGTCAGAAAAAAAATCCTGTAAAAGTACAATTAGATAAAGTGATAAGTTATAACGAGGAATATTATCAGTTAGGCTCAGAAATTTTTCTTTCGACATGGCTTTATTTACAACTTTCATTGGCCCGGAGTACTTATGGCACGTGACGCGTTAAAGACCATACTCTCGGTGCAAGACACGACCACTTGATCGATATGACCTGGCATACCCGGCACCGATGTAGCCGGATGTGACGACAGCTTCGCCGGGTCCCCGAAACATGCACGTCAGGTTGAATCGTTTGTCCCGTCCGGTTTGCACATAGTCCGAAAACTGCACCACCACGATGTTCGTCATCGTATCGCCGTACTGCAAACATTCGCCGTTCAAAGCGTTTATTACATCCATTACTACTGTCAGAAACGGTGATTTCATCGGGCACCATCGAGAAAGGGAAGTAGTTCGTTAATAAAAAAAAATTTCATAAATCAAATTAGAGGAAAAAACGATTTACAAGCAAATTATTATAAATATTGTATAGCTTCGGCGAATCTGATTAAAAGTCATGAAGTAATGTTCCACGATTCAGTTTGCAGGGATTTCGTCGCTGTTGAACGCGCGCGGTAAAAGTTTCGAGCTTGAATTAAATCATGGAGATTACTTTAGCGGATCGGGCCGTTAAGCGGAAATGGTCACTCTTACTCGCTGTGTCCCGCAGTCGGGGTATCCCTGAGGTCCGCTGATACGGAGCACATTCACGGTCCCGCCGCTCCCGCGGAAGAAGCACCGGTCGTAGAATCCGTACGTGTAAATTCGCCCGATGAATCCCTCCGGCGTCCTGAGAGTGAACTCCATCCCGTCCTCGCTGCAGACTTGACTCACTGCAAGCGTAACAGAGCGTTTTCCGGAAAACCGTAGACCGAGGAGGTGCGCGATGGTGCAAAGTTAATCGAATCGAAGTTAATTAAATAGCCAGTGAAATTTATTAAAAGGCAAGGGTGAATAATCGTCGAGCTTACGGGAATAAGTTGATTTACGCGAAAGAGACCAGCCCTAGAAACTGCCAACCGTATTGCTTTTCTGTTAGCATCAAGATTGAAAAGAGGAGTGGGAAATCGGGGGTGGTCACAAAAATGTAGGCTGTGTCGGTGCGCGCATATTGCATAGGTCGCGCACATGCGACGTGCGAGAGGAGGAAGAAGTATAGATGAAAGAGAAACGGCATTAGAGATTTATTTCGTAAAGGCAAAGTCGTGTGACAATAGTGCAAAATTGTCTGTACAATAACGTGCGTTGAATTCATCATTAATGTGCATCTTAATTCTAGAAGAGTAATCGTGTCATTTATAGACCGGATGTGCCGAGTAAATCGCTGTCTCCGATGTGTTTTTAACTATTCCGTGTAGACGACAATCCGGACATTGTACATGTATTTCGGACACGTGCGTTTCACCCTGCGGGTTCTCAATGCGCTCGTGCGTATCTCGCGCGTTCTCCAGCTCTCGCGTCGGCACCTTACGGACGGAGTGGCCGCTTACCGTCCAGGCATTCCCCGTCCGCGCCCTGGCGGCCGTTGTTCCTCTCGTAGAAGTCGTAATCGGAGCCCGAGTCGTAATAAACCGGATTGCCCATGTCCATGTCCCTGGAGTCCCGGTCGCTGAGCTCGCAGTTGTCCCTCTCGGCCCCGTAAGGCGCAGCGTACGGCCGGTAATTGAAGGACCTGCAAATGACGTTGGGAATTCGCAAGCATTGTCCGATCGATTGCGCAAACAAACGCCATCAGATCATTCGTAATTCAATTTCAAGCTCCCCGGGTCACAAGCATCTCCTGAATCAACTGTCGGAATTCGACGTTTCGCCGTTGCAGTTATACCCCTCGAAGAACACACGTCCTATTACCTGTGCTTTTGCAGAACTACCTTTTCTATTTCGCGTATCGACAGGCGGCCGCCGAATTTCATTTCCTTTTACACTAACTTTTACTTTTTCCTATTAATTTTAGGATCGCTAGGAAACGTTTTCATGCCGAGCTAATAATTTATAATCACGCTATCATAAAGCATGCTGCTCAAACCGATCATGCTCATCACTTGAAAATCATTTAAGTCGGACCAGGATTCTTCTTAATTTTTTCTAAATTGCTTACGTAAGTAGATACGAGTAAAAAGTAGCAGAAAGGTAAAGCAAACATTTCTTGTAAGTGTCTTTCGAATTAATTGCTGGAAAACTGATGTTTGTCACGTGAACTTAAATTCATCTAACGTGTTTTTGCTTACAGAAATTCGCCCGTTACCTGCAAACGAAGTCTCTGGCGTCGGCGCATTCCTTCTCGCATTGGGCCAACGACGAGGCGGTGGTGTACCGCCTGACGAACGGCTTCCGCACTCTGGTGTGAGACCCGACTTGTCTGAAATTATCCTGCTCGTCGCACGTGGACACTAACGGGGGTCTGCCTATGATAGGCCCGCCGGCAGTTCCGAAGGGACGAGGGTTGTAGACGCCGCCCTCGCCTATGTATCCACCACCAACGATACCACCGTCGCCGTATCCTCCGTACCCTCCGACGGGTCGCGCCGGGCCGTACGGCCCGCTGCCGTAAGGGGGTCGCGGCTCCTGACCCTGGCCCTGGGAACCGCGAACATCATCGGCGAATCCGTGCGAGTACATCCCTGGCGGATACCTGCTGTTTAATGGAATCGCAAGGTAATTTTTTACAGCGAGCCTTGGATTATCACGAATATATATAAACTATTTGATAGGCCGAGTTTTCGACAGCATCTTAGTAGTCCTGATGAGTGGTGGGATCCAATTCTTTTAAAACATTTGTAAAAAAAAAAACAGATGGCATCTAACATAAAATTTTAGATCGCGTAAATGTATAATAATGTAAAAAGTGCGCTACTCAACACGGTATCCACGAGGCTATAGTCTCGTTTAATCATATTACCCAATGTTTTATCTGTGTATGATGGAAAAAAAGAGAGGAAAATTCTCCATGACACTTGTAGTAAAACTCAGGGCAGACATGGTGTTAATGGAAAAGCGACAAATTACGCGAAAAAATATTTACATTCGATACGCGCGACTTACCGGTTAGCATAAGGATCCTTGTCCGGATATCTTCCACTAACTGGGTATCGATCGGCAGGAGATCTGTCACCTGATGTCATAGGATATCGGTCCATCGGGTCTTCCGGGTAAGGGTACCGGTCGATCGTGTTGGGATATCGATCGATCATGTCGGTGGGATATCGGCTTGGAGGCAATCGGACTCCGTGTATTACGGGATACCGATCATTCGCGGGATATTTCCCCAGAGTTCCGGCATCTGGGTATCTATTAACAGGACGGCGATCTCCTCCTCTAACGGGATACCGATCGGATATGGGATATCGATCGGACATGGGATATCGATCCGGATAGCGGTCTCCGGCTGGATAACGGTCTCCCATGGGATACCGGTCTCCCATGGGATAACGATCTCCCGCGGGATAACGATCTCCCGCGGGATAGCGATCTCCCGCGGGATAGCGATCTCCCGCGGGATAGCGATCTCCCGCGGGATAGCGATCTCCCGCGGGATAGCGATCTCCCGCGGGATAGCGATCTCCCGCGGGATAGCGGTCTCCGGTGGGATAGCGATCTCCCGCGGGATAGCGGTCTCCGGTGGGATAGCGGTCTCCGGTGGGATAGCGATCTCCCGCGGGATAACGATCTCCCGCGGGATATCTATCGGGATATCGATCGCCAAGAGGATATCGGTCGGGATAATTGTCGGAATCGCCTGAAGGATATTTGTTGTCCGGGTATCTATCGTCTACGGGACGACGATCGGGGTATCGGTCTGGATAGCGATCGGGATACCGATCTGGGTAACGATCTGGTAGTCGGTCTGGATAGCGGTCGGGATACCGATCCGGTTTGACGCTGCTGGAATATCCTTTGTCGTAATCGTCCGGGTATCCTGAGGAAAATATTTAAAAAATTTTCCATTGTCACAGTCAGTCACGCATTTCTAATCTTTCGCAGTTTTAATATGATAAACAAGTGAATGGTGGTGTCTTATTGTGCACATTATTTGATTCTTTGTTACTATCGAATACGATCAGAGTAGAAAAGGATTAAATTCAGAATTAACCATACACCAGATAACCACGTTTAATTAAATATTTAGCGTTAAATATCATGTGGGTGCTGCCTTGATTAGCTTAGGGTATTCGAACGACACGATTGATGATATTTACAAGATGATCGTGACAGATGATGTTAACAATCGTGTCTAACAGCGGTTATATATTATACATTACGTGCTTCAGATCTTGTCCCATCAAGACAATTTATGCGGTTACTCAGCAGCTTCATGAATAATTACGCAACTTTATATGACACGTCGACATACGATATTATGCTGAATTAATAAAGCGATTCTAACCGGGTCTTCCTAAAGAGGGTCGTCCGAAGTTTGTGTCTTGTCCCAGAGGATCGGGTCTGTATCCAGGTCCATCGCGATCGCCGTCTAGATATTGATCTGTTAGTACAATGCGTATAATTTAACATTAAGCTATGTAAAGCGCCGTCGTCGCCTTAAAAAATTAGCGAGATGTGCGTTTACGCAGTGATACAAGTCAATCTACCAACCGACATAATCGTCCGAAAAAAGAATCGAATTTGAAATTAACCGTAGTAGAGCACGGATATCTCATAATACGGGACCTTCCTCTATTAATTGTTCTATTGCCACGTATGTCAAGAAAAGAATTTATGTCGCGGACAATACGATATTCAGGAACTGTTTATCACGCGTATCCTTTCTCGCGGTGAACGGACGGGCGATCGATACTCACGCATGAGGTTCTCGTAATAGTCGTAATCGGCATCGTAGATAATCCGGTTGCCGTCCCTTTGATTGTATCGGCTCAATCGGCAGGTGTGATAATTTTCCGAGTAAACGGCGCTGCGGCACTGGAAGCTCGTCTGCCGGAGGCACTCGTCCAGGCACTCGCTGAGGCTGCGTCCGGTAATCTCCGAATGAAACTCGCCGCTCAGACGCGAGTTCCGATAACGCTGGAAGGCCGTGTCCGGACGACGACCGTCGGAGAAGAGGTGCGACGTCGAACTGCTGTCCGGGTATTCGGAGCCGCGCGCTACGGACGGATCTACGCTTCGTAAGTGGGCATTGATAACGAGTTGTGAATCACCAGCTGACCATTGTTAATTCAATCTTACGCCTCGTTAGACTATACTATGGTACAGAGCAAAGATAGAAGTCGCTCCTGTGCACTGAGAACTCTCGACTACCACCGTGAATAATTAGTGCACTAGGTAAATTTCGGGATTCCGTATTCGATCCCAGCTCTACTTCGTTTATTTACACCGGAGGTAAATTAATAAAATTATATGATAAAGTTTAGTAAAATTTCATAAACCAAGATATTAGTGAAATTAAATTGAAGAAAAAAAAAATAACTGAGTGAAAGCTCAGTTTCTTGAAAATTAAGTTTGGTTAAAGTTTTGATAAAATAATCAATATTGTACAATTTGTTGCGAAACTTACTTACGCAATGAGACGATCTACTGTTGACTAAAGGAGAGATAGGCGAAGAGAGAGCTAGCATTAAAAAGTAACGTTAGAATTTGGCGTACACTCACGATTGTCTAAGCACACCAGATCGTAAAAGTGATGACTCGGACTGCTACTAACTGTAATCTCGTCCTTTCGCGAGACGGAATCCTCCTCGGATATGATGCACTGCCGAGTTTGCTCGTCAAACTCGACGCTACGACAGAAGTACTTCTCCGCGTTGAGACATAGCGCCTGACATTCGTCTAAAGTGAGATTCTTGTATATGTCCACGTCAAACGGGCCGCGTAAATATTTGTTTTCTTCCTTGACGAATACTGCGAGACCGTCGCATCGTCTGTCGCCTGGTCACACGTTAACCAAATATTTCTTCAATTTTAATCATTCTTTCATCGGTATAAACATTATTAATTAATATAATTACGTGATACATTTCTATTCAACATGCGAATTTAACGTCTTCTAATAACGTTTTCTTGCAGCGACGACTAAATGCCGCGAGAAAACTTATCACGTAGTTTTGTAATAAAATACGTGAATGCTTTGTACAAAAATTAACCGGGAACGTACCGTTGAGGCAAGTATTTTCCAGATAATCAGAATTTGGATCATCCTCTAATAATTCGGGGTGAGTTCTTCTGGTGAAACGGCTGAGAGAACAGCTCCTTAGAGCAGTGTCGTATGTCGCCGACCGGCAGACGAAATTGAACTCGTTGAGACATCTGAACGCAAAATTTGAATGTTGTTTCTTTTACTACGTATGGCAGTTTTAAAAAATCTTTACACGTCTACCTGTCCTCACAGTCGGTTCTGTTGGCAGCGCTGACCTCTTTGATGTCTGTCAAGGGTAGCTTCAGCTTCTTTCTCGGGTGCCTCTCGAACACGTAACGACGGTTTGGACATTCCCTCCCTATTCTGCTGGCTGAGAGACAACGTTAACTTAATTTCCAGTAAACAAAGATCATTAAAGACAGGTAGAACGAAGTTGCAATTAAGAATTTCAGCTTTTAAATTTGGAGAGAAATTATTTCTAGCCCGTTTTTGCGGAGAATCGTTCCATTTCTATCAGAAGTGAAGAACAAATCACTGGCTGACACTTGTCCTCCCGGCAATCTCGCGAACGAGCGTCTGCTTCAATTAATAAAACGCATCTCGGTGCATGCAAAGGTCTTTTTTTCTCTGTCGACGCGCGGATACTCACACGTTAGGCATACTTCGCTGAAGTGCACGCTGTTCGGTACGAGCATGAGATTTCCAATGCCCTCCGGCTGCGCCTGTTCGCTCGTTAAATAGCAAGTACTCTCCTCGTACTCGCCGGCGCCGTTGAAAGACGAGATTCTGTTGCCGGGCAGGAAGTCGAAGCTCGAACAGATGCGTACCAGGTTGTTGTTCACCGCTCTGTCGCGCAGACAGAGCTCTTGACACGTTTCTAAGACCCTGAACGGAGGCTCCGTCTTCCGCAGCTGTCGTAAAACAGAAATTTGTTTTTAACGCCGAATACTTGCTTTATCGCAGTTACCGCAACGCGGCGACTTGTTCGCGGAATTGTGGAAAATTGAACTTTGAGGATCGATTGATCGTTTTATCGCGAAATGGCGCACGGTTGAAAAGTCGCAACGTTACTGTTAATATTGCAGATATGATATCTGAAAACTTAAGAAGCAGAACTGTTAAAAGTTTCGTCGATCATTGAGGTTCGTCTATCGCGGAAATCTTGAAATTTCGGGCGTCGAACGCCGAGCGCCGGTGCCGAGAAATGACGTGGCGCCGTAAACACTTTGGTCGAAAGCAGTCTATTTTCATTGTACCAAATTATTAACGCGGCGACAGTCGAACGGATCGGTGAGCGGTCGGCTTATCGTATTATTCTTTCTTGATACGCGTTCGCGACAAGTGCGGGAGGAAACCGCGATAGCTCTTTGTGAATAATAAGTCATCGCGTGATCGCTGAATCCTCGCGATTTGCTATCAATGCTCGGTTAATCAGCACGACAGATATCTCGCGCATTTACCTCATTGTCATCGAAACTTTGAAGCTGCTGATCCGGAAGTCTCTCGTAAACCACCCTACCCAAACCGCCGTTGCAGGTCGTTTGCGCTGAAACTATAATGGTTTTCTCGTTAACGCCCGTTTGTCGGTCAACGCGCGACAGACCCTTTTCCGATTTTATTATTTATATTTACTGTTCTGCGCGAAAAAGGCACGTATTATTATTTCCTACTCTCGTAAAATTCTACTTCCTCTAGACAACAAACGCGCACACGCGCTCTGCGATCTTATCAACGCGATATTTTCATGCCATAAGTGGCACGGATAGTGACACAATACCGACCGACAGTTTCGCAAGTATGACGTGGCATCGTTCCGTATCCCTCGATTTGCTTGCTCGCACGTCCGCGAAACTATTTAAACCGTATGCAAATTCCCAGCAGCGCGCAGAGCGCATTTTAAAAGTATAATTTAGAATACGATTTGTCACGTTGAAATTTTTGCACGGAAAATTTAAATAAGTAAATTTTTTATTTTAAGCAAAAATAATTTAACTGCTGCTCAAATGATTTCAAACATTAAATCAATTAACATAAATTTTATTCGCGTTTATACATCGTGTTTCATTAGCGTTAAAAATTTTTTAAAGGCACGACTGTTTCTACTTTTTGCTAATTTTTCAAAACTAAAATATGTCAAGATCTGTGAGTAACGTGTGTCCTAATATTTATCATATATTTAATCTGAAGGAATCTTTTATTTATTTTATTCTTACCATTGTCCAATAAATCTAACGCGATGAGTATCCAAATGGCTGGCAGCATACTAATTGATCTGCGAGCTCTCCGCATCATGATATTAAAACAAGTTACTATGTCGCATACATGCCAATCGCTATTAGGATCTGGAAAAAAATTATTAAACATTCGACCACGTAAAACGCAGAGAGAGAGAGAGAGAGAGAGAGAGAGAGATGTTTTATTGTTTGCAAAATGTTATCAGAACTTTTCCATAATTTTAATTTTTTACAGCAACGTTACTAAATGCAGTTGCTATATGTGCGTTATTAAAACAGGTTCCAATGTCGCATACACGCCAATCGTTACTAGAATTTGAAACAAAAATATTAAAAATTTAACCACGTAAAAAGCAGAGAGAGAGAGAGAGAGAGAGAGAGAGAGAGAAATTTTTTATTTTGGCAAAATATTATCAAAACTTTTCCATAATTTTAATTTTTTTTTACAGTAACGTTATTAAATACAGTTGCTAAACGTGCGTTATTAAAAAGATACTGAAATATTTCGTGTTATCCGCCGCAAAATTACACGAAGCAGAAATGGAGAACGGTCGGTGAATGTGCTTTTCGCTACGAAAAGAGAAGAGAAATTTAATTTATGCGAAGAGAGAAATGCTTTTCTAAGGGGCGGCTTTGTATTGAAATTTAATAATGCAGGAGATCTCGAAATTATTTATACGGCGGACTATCGGAAGGCAGCACCTATTTTCCACGTGTATTTTTCTTTTACGAAATAAGTGTCCGGGGAAAAATATTGTAACGGTTTCTATGTGCCCCGGAGGCATAAAGGGGCTTTTAAAAATTACGCGCGCTACGTACATATAAATATACTACCTTTAATTGAACGAATATTTGACTGAGGGAATCCACGAAACCGGGTTTGTAAAAAGAACGCACACCTAGGAAGCGCAGTAATTATTGCTTAGATGTTTCTCGAAATCGTTCGTATGTCTCTTCCGAATTTCCCTGGAGGACCAGGTGCAACGGACGGTAAATCCAGTTTTTGTCCCTCGCGTAAAAAAACAAAAAACAATACATGAAAAATCGAAATACAGATAAAGCTACTAGCGAGAGCCATTTGTTCTGGGCGATGGACGTTTCTACGTACTCCAGATACGCGGGGACAGCGTGTACTAAACTTTATGGGATTCCTGACGAGCACTCACCCTGAACACCTCCACACACTGTCACCCTAGCGCGCCCGTAAACGTACGCGGCTGCCAAAGGACCAGCACACACGCCCGTAAGGGCAACGAAGCGTGGTTCCAACTTTCAGGCATTACATTATTAGCCGGTTGCCATTATCTATCCGGCTATCGTGATTGACGTAGGAGAGCGCGGGTTCAATCATCGGAAACGAAAGACCGAGCAGGGTCATCTCCGTGCGATGATTTCGATCCATCGATCGAAAGGAGAATCGTATTTATGTGACGTGTAACATCTACAATAATTTTGCAAACGTAATCCAAAATAATCTCACGCCTCGAAACGTTTTATTCCGTTGAAAGATAGTTTATCGCTAATAGTTTTTCTTCTTTTCGTCAGTTTTTAATTTTTAATATTAATCAATGCACCTACATAGACCAGCAATAACCTACTTTGATGACATTATATTTTTTTACTCCTCCCTTGAATCTTTAATTCTAAAAATGTACTTTAGCTGCCACTTAAAAGGACCTGCTTTAATGCTAAATTGGCAAAAGTAGAAATTTCCGACACTGTCAGTTTGAAAGTAGGAGTAAATTTTGTTCTCGCAGTTCGACCTCTTTTACTGTCTCAGGTCCTGCTGTACAGGGTGTACTAAAACCACCGGATATCCTTTTAATCATAAATTCTTTAGAAACTTTCAAGACAAAAATTCTAATACAAAAATGTCGAGGCTATAATAGTTTTTAAATAATAAGCGATTACATTTCACAAATGACAGGCCTGAGATTTCGCGCGCTCAGGTACGGCGACACGACAAGTGATAAAGGTGTTGCTACGAATATCGCCCTTTTTAGCATAGTGACAACTTTCACAACAGACTTAACGATTCATTCTCGAATTAATTGTCCCTCTTGTTATCTTTAACCATTTCTTTTGTTAACTTTGTGTAACGTCTTATTAATAAAAGGGAGGGGTTCACTATGATCTTGATCAAACTGATATCCTTCGATTTAGTCGATCTCCGATATTCTGAGTGAACTTGGAATTTTCAGTTAGATTCAATCTAGCCTCCTGCCTCTCTTTATCCTCAAGTTTTTAAAATAACCGGATCATCGTCTTCCCAAATATTTTCTGTCCCGTCAAACGGTGACTTTGGTTCTCGCTCGCTCGCGAAACACATAGGAACACTTTTATCACTCGTCATGTCGCCGTGCCTGAGCGCGCGAAATCTCAGACCTGTCATTTGTGAAATATAATCGCTTATTATTTAAAAACTATCATAGCCTCGACACTTTTTAATTAGAATTTTCCTCTTGAAATTTTCTAAGGAATTTGCGATTAAAAGGATATCCGGTGGTTTTAGTACACCCTGTATAATCGATTTAAAGGTTCAACGTAGGGCCAAAATTTGGACTCGGGTTAAATTATTTATTTGTATTTTATAAGTTGCAAAGTCCCCGCAAGATACAATGCGAATACTCGTCTTTATTCGTTCATAATTTGGAGAATATCGCGGTCGAGCTGCTCGACGAGTGCCTGCAGCGGCGCCGCAATAGGATGTTTATGATATCGACAACGTATCATAAAGAGGATTTTATTGTCGGGGTAATTTATGTTTACTCGTTGATGCGCGCGGGCAGTACTTGTTCGTGACGAGTGCCAATTACTATGGCCAAGTCTCGTCCACCGATTGTGTCCCATCGGTGTCCACCGTGCAGAGCGCACTGCTTATTAATCGCGTTATGGTTTATCGCCTCGGTAATTGCGTCTGTCACCGACAAAGCAGTATAAAAGCTTATTCTGATGTTAATATCATCGGCCGCGAGAGAAAATTATGGCGCCCGTTCGTCATAATTCGCGTAATATTGCGCCGCGCGAAATTACATTTCTGCAATTGTCCTCGCCGGATTGCCGGATTTATGACGTGCCGCTCGTCGTATGCAAATTATTTCGGGAAATTACTCGGATTAAGGTAATTAAACGTGCCGTCGGACACGGGGGAGACCACGAAAAACGCCGCGGGTGGAGGAGGACGTTAAAGGGTATGACGAATGGTGGGCGCCAAGTGTTTTTAATTTTTCCCGACGTCGTGAAATCGGCTGCTGCGAGACGTTAATATTTTGCAAACCGAGGAATTTGGACCACGTCCCCCGTGAACGAACGAGTTGAAACGAGTCGTTTACGGGGGACAAACGGCAATTTGGAGATCGTTGTTGATGCGACTCGCAATTCGGGCTTTGGGAATCATCGGGGCCTTTTGAAAAGCTTACCTTCTGCAGTTGCTTTTCACCGAGCGAGCTTCCACCGCAGGGTCTATTGTCGTGGTGCTTTGAACCCGATTGGTACGCGGACGGCATTGTTGCGTGCGTATCCGTGTCGAACCGGGAATGAATTCGGTCATTGTTGTGTGACGTTCATGTTAATGGAACTTTCGCACGCAATGACAAATTATTATCTGGTAATGCGCCACGTTAATTCCGTCCAATTCGGGCACGGGGCGACGCCGGCTCGGGCGGAGGCGACGACGTGTCTCGATCCAATATTTTCGCGAGTCGCCGGAAAATAATCACCAATCGAACGCGATCGCGCGGCTGTGCGAAGGATCGCGGAAGATCCGCATGGTATCACGCCCGTATCTCGCAATTGCGTAACGATCTCCCGAGTAATTATCGTGATTACAGCAATAAGTACTGCGCTACAACGCGTTCGCGATACGTCATTGGAATAATTAATTAAGTTTTCGAACAGTTGCAGTCATGCAAGCAGTCACTTAATCCTCGGTCCTTATATGGCGATACAATCACGTGAAAATGACGTTCCGAGAAAATATTTATCTCCTCGCGATTGTATTGGAAGGAGAATTAGCTGCTACGCGTTCATAAGCGTGCGCGAAAAGTCTCATGCTTCCTGAAATAAACTTGTCGACTCAATAAATCTCCTTTCGAGGTAGATAACGGGAAGCATGAGGGTGCGGCGGATCGGTAAAAATTAATTCACCCTCACAAGTACGCGATTTAATCTTCCATCCGTGAATTCTCTTGAAGGAGGCTATGAAGTGATAATTAAAGTCCAGCAATCGCGAGTGTATTTGCAGACTAATTTAATTGAAAGTTACGGACTGAAAAAAAGGAAAAAAAGTTCTCTGTACCAATTTAATATCTCTCGATATCCGAGTGGAAGAGAATTGTCGGTGCGAAATAATGCGAGTCTTACCCGGGAGGTACAGCCCTCCCAAAGTTGAGCCCTTTTCCGTCGCGAGCGGTCCGTCCTTTCGGCGCGATTGCGGCTACCGAGAAGAAGGGCGAAGGGTGGCGGGGTCCGCGGTGCCGGCGCTGCAACGTCCCGATCCCGATGGTGCGATCCTGGAGCGTCCCTCGCGTCTGCTGGCCGCCGATCGCGCGCGTGAAGGAGGCGGTGCGAGCGTAGGCCGAAATCACGCGTGCGGCGCGAATGGCACCCGTAATCAAACTGACGGTCGAAATCGGCGGAAAGCGTGGAAATAATGGACACCTGCACACCCGGGGAAGCGGAGAGAGAGAGAAAGAATGGCAAAAGAGCAAATCGTGCATTCCCGATGAGCGGTCCCCGCGTGTACGGCCAGGCCGTAGGGGGCCCGGGGCCCGCGGAGAGCGGCGCGCGGGGGCGGACAGGTGGGGTCCCCACGTCCGACTTCTCTGGCCTTGCACGCAGCGGAAGTGGACCCATTGTGTGTCCGGTTTCCGTGGGGCCATCCGGGAAAACGAGCGATCGCGTCATGGTTTCCGCGCGGGGGGGCCGGCCCTCCGGCAAGAGTCGCGGAGTGTCGTATCCAGCGGTGGTATAGATACTCGCCATCGAGGCCGATTCGCGGCGGAATCATGGATTAGAGACTCCCAGCCGAGGTCAACCAGGACGAGATCGCGTCGTCATCGTCGACGGGAGTCAACGAGCCGCTGCACGATCGGCTGGATAAAGCGCGGGGTGATCGGGCGCCCCAGTACAGGGGTCCGCGAACCTTTTGTTCGCCGTACTGGATGCCGAATGATCTTCGCGTTTGCATAATGAACTGCCTCGCGAACAGTTCAATTTACTTTTATTTTCAGCCCTTTAGAATGCACGAGAGTGCCAAGGCACAATTCGCGATCGTACGCGGAGAGAATGTTCTTTCAAAATTTACCCTGGAAATCGTGCAATCGCGAGTCAACACGGCATTTTGAAGTACTTTATGAGAGTTTTTTGAAATTTTATCACACATTTTGCTAGTAAAATGTATACTAAGCGAGATTACTAGTGAATTGTATAGTAAAATTCTTTGAAATGCCACATTGTCTTACGATTACAAGATTTTCAGGATAAATTTTATTAAGGGAAAATTCTCTCCGTGTACAATTCAGTTTTCAGTGCATGCATATTCGTTTTCGCGATTTTGCAACATTATGGAGAAGGAATTAAACACTTAGACGATTTTTAGATAAAAACCTCGTCTCTTCTCTCTGAAGTACGTAAAACTTTTATCCCGTCTGTGGGAATCGAATGTGATAAAAGTAAGCGTGTAAATTCAATATTTTCTAATAAATTAATACGTTAATACAAGTATTAAATAATAAATATAATAATATAATAATGATCGAGTTAATAAATATAATAGTATCGATAATAAATGATATTGATGCGATAAATATAACAACATAATAATAGTGGAGTCAATACATGGGAGAGGGAAAACGAAATTCGGTAACAGTACGTCAGTCCCTCGTAAATTATGGCGCTAATAATGATCTTGAGATCTCTTCCCTTCCTTTCTTTACGGGACGTCCTTTCTTGCGTCTCCACAAAGAGCATTATACTTAAGAGATATCTCTTTTTCTCTGGAGACAGCAAATAACGACGCTTCCGTGAAGTCTGAAATGTAAGGGGAGGTGGAAAGATAAAGGTATGTAATAAATCTCCCTCTAAGGGCGCCTAATATGTTTCTTCTCGATATTCTTTTATATAATAATAATAATAACGATTATTTGCGGATAAATCCTAGCCGTAATAACTTGCCTTTCTCGTAAATTCGTTACAAATGCTCTCATATTATAACCGACACAAAGGAGGAAGCTTTATAGCTGCAACAAACTTGCAACTAAAAGAATCAAGGAAATATTGAAAATTTGGCTGTGTTGCAAATATGAGGAAACTGGGATTGAATTCTGCCGTGGCGCTTAATAAAAAAAAATGAAAAACTCTTTTATAAGAAAGTGCGTTTATTGACAAAAAGGCATCAAGTATTCACATACGTAAACCTTCGTGTGCACCAAATTAGACGAAAACTGTACATAAACCTGTAAGCCTCCATTTTCCGTATTTTATTATTGCACTTACAATCAGTGTAATAAGAATAAGAACAAAAAAACAATGATAATTATTAATAATAATTCCAAGCAGCAAAGTGACGATGAAATAACGTTTAGTGACGTCTAATGCACTGAAATAGTTGTTTCAGTGTAGCTTCTATTAATTAATTTCTACAATTAACTAATGATTCAATTACTCATATACAGTAATTTTCTAGTAATTATTTCGTTCCTCTTTCGTAAGGGAGCGCAGCGAATTTAAAAAGAATTCTTTTCGAATTTCCGAATCATGAAATAAATTCTTTCTCCATCTTTTCCCCGCTTCTGTTCTAAAAACATTCCTCAACGTTTTCAAAAAGTATTCGCCCTTAACGTCGTCAAGTATGAGCGCTTTTTCAGATGCAAAGGGAATTCTTTTTGACGCAAATAATAGAAATATGCCTTGTACGGTCGGGTTGGATCTTCGTTGCCGAATATTTTTGCATGCGCAGTCTGAAGATACACTTTTACGGAATCCTCTTTGAACTATCGAAGAGGAATTCTTTCGGACAAATTACTACTTGTAAAGAATTTTCAAAAGTGGATCCTTTTTAACAATAAGTTCAACTGTGCTATTTAATTTAATGCCATTCTGCTATCTGAGATAATAATAATTAACGATAATTATTCTTGGGATATTAAGGCAAAAAGTAGACCCAAAACGTACGATTTATAATTTTACATTAAATTGTTAAATTAAATATTACACTAGATGAACTCACACACAAGAAACTGCGTTTGATTCTCAAAGCACATTTTTTACTTTGTGATTTTAATATCGAGAGTCTTTAGTTAATTATCCATTGATTAAATAACAATTAATGTTCCGAAATAGTAAGGCTCGATTTCAATGTCGCTTAACTTTAGTCTTGATTTAATTTATGTTTGTCTCTTTCTAGAGCAACAGTTGGGAAAAGACAAGGAGCGAATTAAGCTGAGCTTAAAGTTGAACAACCGGGACTTAGGACCAGTTTCATTTATGCTTGTCTCTTTCTAGAGCAACAGTTGGGAAAAGACAAAGAGCGAATGAAGCTGAGCTTAAAGTTAAACAACGTAAAGTTAAACAACCGGGACTTAGGACCAGTTTAATTTATCTCTGCCTCTTTCTAGAGCAACAGTTGGGAAAAGACAAGGAACGAACGAAGCTGAGCTTAAAGTTAAACAACGTAAAGTCAAGCAACCGGGCCTCAGGCGTCGCTTCAATTTTGATTTAATCTTTCGTCTCTTTTTAAAGTTCGTCTCTCTCTGAAGTAACAGGGTTGGGCAAAGATAAAGAACGTAGTGAGCCAAGCCCAAAGTTGAACAACGCAGGTGAAATTTAGCCTTAAATCGGCTAAAAACGAGACTTCGGCGCCCGAACGGCCCGCACGGCGGCCGAGCGCGCATTTGAAAATGGCGGGCGGCGTCACGTGATCGCCGACCCGCTCACCGAGTGCGTGCCCGCTCTCCGGACCGTCCCCGTTGCGTGTATACGTGAGGAAGGAGCTCGATAACAGCGATATATAGCTCGGCGAAGTCAGCTGACGCCAGGATGCAATCGCCCGTCGCCCGCGGACTGTAATGAGATCGCTCCGTTGTCGCGTGAGACCGTAAGGATCGCATTCGCGGAAGGAACCGCGCGTTCTCGCATCTCGCCGCGAGCCGTCAACGAGGTGAGTGCCTGCGATATCCGCGAGGACGAGCCCGCGTATTGATTCTCGCGGCGGGGCCCCGCGCTTAATGACAATTAATCCGCCCGCCGAGGGGGGCATCTTCGAGGGGCGCGCTGTTCCCCGAGCGCTCCACCGTCTGTTTTGAGGTTAAGAGAGCCTGACGGTCGCGCGGGGCCGCGCGCTTCGACGGGCGGGACGAGACTCGGGGCTGCTTGCGCGTACGCGCACGGGATGTCATCTCTCTTTACGTTTCAGTTGGAGCAAGTTGCGCGAGGGACTCGTGGAAACTTGGGCTAGCTGGGCCGAAGGGAGCACGGGAGGCCACCATGCCGCTCAGCGCAGGTAAGTTGAAGGTATTTTGGTAAACGCGACCCGTGCCGTACGCTCGGGTATCCCAATCTCTCGTACCGACGTCGTGCTTTCGTTTGTCGCAGACATATCCACGGCGCTCCACCTGCTGGAGCACGTGCAGGAACGGGTGGAGGACTGCGACGATCCTAAGCTGCAGATGCACACGCAGCAGGACCTCAAGTCGTTGATCTCGCTGCTGGAGGACCCGGTGTTTCGCAGCATCGTCACGATCCAGGACTCGCTGATCGAGCTCAACACACAGCTGACGCATCATCCGTCGATCCTGCCCGGCGACTTCGACATCAACATCAGCGGGCAGCTGGAGCTCTCGGTGCCGAGCACCCCGGTGCAGCCTCTCGGGCCGAGCATGTATCAGGATCTTTACCAGGACAGCAGCGAGCTGGAGGACCAGCGGGTGCCCGTCGCGCCGCTGTTGCACAGCAGCAGCGAGGACACGAGCGCGCAGGTAAGTTTTAGCGGTCGTCGCCGCGCGCCCGGTGGAGGATTAGCCCTGTACTTGTTATCGAAGGGTCCGCCGCTACTCTGTCGCAGGTTACCAGCCCCAGCCTGGTCTCGGAAGTTATGGGAATGCCGCCTATAACCACCCCTACTTACGCGAAGGAGTTCAAGAAGGTCATCGAAGCCGCGGCGAAAGGGCGGCAGATATTCACGGTGCAGGTAAAGCTTTTCTTGAAGGATGTAGACCTCGTTTGCCACGTAACGCCTTTGCGATGTCTTTCTGCGCTCCGTTAAGACTTCACGTTTACCTTTCGCACGAAAAAGAAATCGGGATGAGACGATGTCGCGGGTATCCCTCGCTGATTAGGGCGATTTTGCGTTCCCTTAGCTGTACAAGCCGGAAGGTACCAGCTTGGGATTCAGCGTGGTCGGACTTCGCAGCAAGGACAAGGGCGAGCTCGGCATATTTCTACAAGAGATACAACCGAACGGCATCGCGGGCAGGTGAGTCCAACTCCTCTTACCTCTAGCGTGTTTTGCCGCATGCTTTCGATATATAGATTGGCCTGCAAGCTCTTATGACTTTGCGCAATTGAGTGTCCAAGTGGTCGCTGTTATTTTGACAATAGCAGCCGTGTGTTCCTTTTTTTTTTCTATCGATGGACTAGATTCGAAAGATTGATAGACATTTTCGCTTCAGTGGCGTTAGGGATCTGCGCGAAAGTTCCCGGCTGACGTACGTACGTGCCGATAGGGCGGCAATCAGATAGCAAGTCTCGCGAAATGTCCAAACGCGTTTGATAGTCGTCGGTAAAAAGATCGTGCCGCGATAAGGGGCTCGAAGCGGAAAATAGGGATGATCCGTGAGTGGGCGAGATATCAGGTGATCCAATAACTTCGCTTTACCGCAGTGCGGTCGAACCGACATTTCGCAGCAGAGCTAAGCGCGGAGGAAAAGCTACTCTCCTTTTTTATATACGTATAAGTCAAGAACATTTTCCGTCGTATCGCGCGATACATTGTAAACCCCGGGCTCTATGTTAGCAGGAAGTCAGATCCGTCGTATCAATTACAGCGTTTTTTTTTTTTTTATCAACGCGCCTTTATCGGGTTTGCAAATCTCGACGGAAATTCGCTGTTAATGCATGAACCCACCGGGCGAAACGCGATCCCCTTTTAGCACGGTGAGAGCGAAACGCGATTCCCTGATTGCTCCTGGGGAGAGAAAATGAGAGGGTTGGGTGGGAGCAGAGGGAGAATCAAAGCTCCACAGGCAGTCTAATCTACATCATCGTCGTAAACCGCATACTCGGGGGGGGCGAGGGAAACACGCGAGTCGCCGTCGCGCACACGCGCGTCCAAAGCGAGCGACCGCGAGCTATCATTTCCGGATCACGCGTTTCTCCCCGGCACACCCTTGTGCACGGTCGTGTGCGGTGCCGATCGTGCCATCCGTCACACGCATGCCCGTTACCCTCCATCCGGAAGCCTCGCCGCCGCCGCCGCCGCCACCGCCACCGCCGTCGACGCCGCCGCCGTCGTCGTCGTCGAGAAAACGCTGCCTTTGAAAAAGAGCCTCCCACCCTGCGGCCGACCAGTCTTCGACGAACCTTCGTCGGCCGAGGGTCGCGGGGCGGATCACCTGCGCGCGCTCTTATCACGCGGTGGACACGCACCTCGCGCGCATCCGCGCATCCACGCGCGTAATCACACACGTATCCGCCCGCTCGGCCGCCCGCTCCGCCCGTCCGCCCGCTCGCTCGCTCGCTCGCTCGTTCGCCCAGGTACAACGCGCGGACCGCGGTGTGCCGCACGCCGCGAGTGCGCTCTCCCCCGTTTTTCCATCCCCCGTGAATCGTCTCGCAGTGCGTTCTCTCCCCGCGTGCCGTCCCGCGGCCACGCCGATGCACCCGGAGCAGCGCGCTCCGGAATCCCCCGCCGAGCGCTGACGACGGGGGGTGGTTTTTTTTTTCGTTTTTGCCATCCCTCCCCCCGCCCTCACCTCCTGATTAATCCGCGTTGGCGGGAGGGGTGGGAGGGCGAGGGAGAAAGGGGCACGCGTGTCGGGATCGCGTTTCTTCGCGAGGTGACACGCGAGGCGGCCGCGCCGCGTTCACGCGATGCCCTCGTTAATCAGCCGCGTGCCCTCGTGAAGGGCCCACCCCTTCGCGCGCGCGGCGGTGGTTACGCACACGCGGGGAGGTGAGTGAACAATGCCCGACGTCGTCCTGTGACAGCTCACGTGGTGCGTGGCCGTCTTGCGTATCGGGAGGAGGCGTCGCGCGGCGCAGCGTCTCCGGCTCACCCCTATGCGCGATACTCGCCCGGCTCCACGTTCCTTCTCACGCGATATGATAATGGGGCGAGGGGCGCGAGGTTGCTCCGCGAAGAAACGCGTGTATCGGCGAGCCACGTCGGAAGAGACGCGTCTACGGTTGCGTAACGCGCGGCTGGCGGTCGCGATTTTCTCCACGAGCGGCCGCGGCGAATCGGCACGCGAGTCGGCTCGGCGACCTGGAGCAGCTCGCACGGCTCTCGTCCACGTCACCGTTACGCTACCCCCGGCGGCGCGAAATTGCGTTTTTATCGACTCGCCGCGCGGCTCTACTCCGCGGGGCCGAGAGAGCGTGATACTACGCGGCCGCGCGCTCTCCGCGGCCCGTGCGCGCCTCGCGAGAGGCGAAACTGGGTTAGATCGTCGGCGGGAGTAGGCCTCATCGATCCCGGATTTCAATTCAATGTGAAATTATTCTAGCCCGCGATGCGCGCGTATTATTCATGCCCTGGGACCCGCGGCCGGTGGCGCGCGGATGGCGCCGCGACGCGCCGCGCCGCGCCGCGCCGCGCCGCGCCGCGCGAAATTGAACGACTTTCCCGCTGCTCCGCGGGGCGAGACCTGGCGCGCGAACCTCCCCGCGGTCGCGAAATTTCGTCGGCGCGTGCCACCGAATTTATCGCCGTCAACGCCACCGGGGGTGTGTGTGCACGTGTGCGACGGGGCCGCGCCGTTCATAAATTAGTCCGCGTCCAGCGATATCACTCCCGGCGTATGCATAATGAAGAGCTACGGGACGCGGCGGCGGCGGCGACGGCGGCGCGGCGCAGCCTTGTAGCTTTCGTACCCTCGAATCGCGCCCGAGTTCCGCGGGGATCTTAATATTAAAACAACGACGGCTGATGCACGCCGGCTCTCGATGCCGATTGTATACTTTTGTGTCGCCGCCTCTCTTACCGGGATCCTAGTGGAACTTGCATATTCTTGCGTATTGATTGCGCGGCTATTTCTACCCTCGCTTTACTTGCCCAGTTGCAGTTTTTCGTCCCGGTAATTCCCGAGTAATGACGTTTACGCCCCGCCCCGCGGGATTGTTTTCGTTTATCTGTTATTCCGTATATTTTTAATGCAACGTGTAAACTGTGTGGCGGAGGCACGCAAAAAGGAACGGATGTGAGGGGTGTACGAAGTATGGAGCGTGAGTAATTTGTTGTCGAATCGATGGCTGGCCTATATAAAGCCGGGCACGCCAGCATTTTGACGCCGCGCTAAATAATGCTGCGGAGGGGAAAAAATTAGGCGGCAAAAAGGGGGCACTTTAATTGCCGGTTAGGCGACGATGTGAAAAAAGAAGAGGTTCCAGGCTTGATGAATTAATGTTAAAGGGACTACCCTCGGCCCGGGCGTGCGGTAAGGTTTCCCTTCCTCGCGCCGTGGAAAAAGGAATTCGTCGAGGGGGAAAACGCTCAGAGCATTGCGGTGTACAGATTCGCGGCATTACTGGGCATTACTGGGCATTTTTGGGGCATTTTTTCGGCATCAGGCCTTGTGCTGGGGCATTATAAAGATACAATAAGATAAGGTAATGCTCACTGGACAGTAGTGGGCATTGGTGTACAAGATTTTGGTCAGCGGTTTCCCCCTCGGGCGTCGTAAATCGTTGACTTCGACGCAGACACCGCGAGCGTAAACAGCGCCGAGGAATATCGGTAATTAAGTTTCACGAATAAATTAATATTTTAATCACGCGTCTCTGGACGCGTCGGGTTCCCCCGCGTCAGGTTTTCTCTCATAACATCGGATTCGGGGCGATCGGCCGCGCGCAATTTACGCCCCCGACGTATCGCCATAAATTTTCACCCTGATTTGCGGCGCGTGTTTGCTCGAGGTATCGCGACGTCCCCCCCCTTTTTTTTTATTATTTTGACACGGGGCGAGCGAAATTTATCCGCCGAATTTTTACGCGGTCAATGGTCACGCGACAGAAATCCGAAGCTCGTTAGTTATACCATCGACGCACGTCCGACGAAATGTGCAAGCATTATACGCATAGCTCTCGAAAAAGCCCCGGCGCGGTTAATGTGTCGCGACACGTCGCCGCGTTGTGTACGTTAACGAATTTATCGCACGCGAGAGAAAGTCCGGAGTGAATTATTAGCCGGTTACGCGCGCGCCGCGCTCGGGGATGGTTTTTTTTTTCGTTTTATTCGGCGACAATGTATAAATATTTCAAGTATACTCGCCGAAACTTTATAAAAGCAGCGATGTTACAACGGGCTTTTTATTGTACGCCGCGCCTGTTTGCCGAACGGGCTTTATTTCACGGAGATTACTATTTTAATGTAATATTTATTTTCATACAACTTTAATCCACCCCCTTCAAAAATTTCTCTCTCCACCGGCGATACACGATAATACGATGGGGTGGAGGGATTTTTTTTTCTACCGGGGACGAGACGCTTAAAAATTTCGCTGTTAATATTTATATCTCGACGTTTGTCAAATAGTATAGCGAACGTGGGATTATCGGTAGTTGACCAAAATTGACACGAGATTGTTTCCCCGGGGAGAAAACACGCCGGAGGATATTGAACGGGGGCGAAGACCCCGCTTTGTAATTCGCTCTCCAGTAAGTAAGTAAGTGGTTTTTATATCGGCGCCCTCTTCCTCTCCGGCGTTTTCATAAAGGGACACGTGGTTTACACAGCTTACGTGCTCGCGCGTCTCGCGACAGCTGAGCGAAATGTTGTTAAAGCACCGAAAAATCGTCGCCGCGTTCGGAATTGGATCACGAGTAATTGGCGCTTTTGCGAGGAAACTTCTCGCTTTCGGTCCGTCGTCCATTTGCATCTCAAAAGACGAGGCGGGAATTGTGCCAGGCCGGATTTTTCAAGGGCTCGGCCGCCCCTCGTGCGTCTTTTCGCGCTCACGCTGCTCGCCCGCGCGAGATGCATCTCGGGCGGTGCGCGCCGTCGGCTCCGGGCAACAATTAAATCCGCTAGATTGGATCCGGTCGTTTTACGGGCGGCGTGATCGTCGCGTCCTAAAACAAATGTTTCGTAAGAGAGTCAATATCGTTAACCAGGCGCCGTGCGTTATATAGTTGCAACAATGGAGATCAGTATCCTCGATAGTTTGCACTTCGACCCGGCCGCCATCGCCACCGCCGCCGTCGCCGTCGTCGTCACGTTTTGCGCTTTGTTCGTTCGATAAAGGCGAGACAAATTTC